ACAAGCAGTGTCTAGCTGGTATTAAAGTGATTCATCTGTCGTACAACTCCCATGATGCTATGCCAGCTGAGGATCTACCATTTGCCCATACTTGCATGGTTGCATTTGTAAGCAGTGTTTATGCATTTGTATGTAAGCATGTGTTTGTAAAGAGTATATGTGTACATGTAGGGGTGTACTTGTATGCACTGTTGCCATTGGAATGTACTGGTGTGTAGTGTTTGTGTGAATGTAGGGGTGTTTGTATATAATTTTAGTGTTTTAATAATGGACGTGTTTGTATCAAATGTTTGCGTTTCATTGCAGGGGTGTGTTTGGATGTAATGTCTTTTAAATGTGAATGTACATGTGTGTGTAGTATTGGTGTCTGAGTGAATGGGGTGTGTTTGTATATCATTTTGGAGTTTGAATGCAGGGGTGTTTTTGTATTTAATATTTGTATTAGATTGCAGCTGTGTGTTTGCGTGCTGGTGTTTGATTGCTTGCATGTATGCATATACACTGCCACATATGTACTTACACAGATATACATTAACACAATGATACATACACACACTGACACATACACACACATAGATACACATACTGACACATGCACACAGATACACACACCGACATATATACAGACAGGTGCACAAACTGACATACAGATGCACACACACTGACACATGCACACACCCTAACAAACAGATAAACACATCCTAACACATACACACATACACAAACTATCTTACATACAAAGACAGACAAATGTCATTTTTATATTTGCAGCCACCCTCCTGTTAGCATACATTTTATATTCAGGAGGGTGGCTTGCTTCCTGCTGCTGCTGGCTGAGTTTAATGGGAGTGTGGGGTCTGGAGCTGCTCTCTCTTCTTGCTCCTCTCCCCTCATGATATATGTGCTGCTGCCTTCTCCCCCACGCGTGGGGGTGCGCTCAGTAAAAAGCTGGGAGAAAGTGACCAGCTGTCACTTCCTCGCAGACGGTCGATATTATAGGAGTCCGGTCACGCTCTTAAAGTACAATGTATACCTTTTCCCATAATCCTGCTCCTAATCCAATCATTAGGCCAACGACAAACCCTACCTACAATCCAACCCTAATCCAACCAATTAGTGTACACATAATCCTACTCCTAATACTGCCCCTAATCCACTTTGAGTGCTGCACCTAGCTCCTCACCTGTCAGTCTGGGACCATTAATTGTGACAGAGGGGACCCTCAGGGATCTGGTGTTACCTGGGGCTCCTTAGTACTGTAAAGGAAATTTACTATGAATAAATCATCCAAGAGATAACAAGAGGCTCCTAATTAGATGTACGAGCGCTCGGGAGAACCAATAATAAAACCACAAACCTACTCCGTTGTAGTTGAAATATCATCTCATCTTTAATTGGGAGAGCATCGCATATTTATTATAGCATTAGTCTACTGCGCATGTGTACATTAAAGGACAACCATTGCATTTTACTGCGCATGTGTGCGTTAAGACAAGGGACAATTGCTCACTCGAGAACGTCTTATTTAAGCTACACTAGAATACCAAGATTAACAAAAAGTAACATTTCATGAATGTGCTGCAAAAAAACTGCTGACAGAAGCAGGAGTGAAGAATTTAACTTTTAACCCTCTTAGACGTGGAAGAACTTAACTAGGGCAAAGGTTTTAACCCTTTATTTACCTTTATCTATGACAGTACCAGCAGGATCTATGCCATCAACAGGTATTAAATAACCGCACTGCATGATGGCATAGACCAAGTCTCACTTAATCTAAATTCTAAGAGTTTACATAGGGACACTGTAGGCATGGTAACCATGTCATCACATCGGATTGGAATATAGCGCTTGGAGTCCTCAGCTGCCATCAGGGACAGATTGACCACTCGGGCAGGTCAGTCATAGGCTAAGGGCCCAAGCTAGCCAGGGGCCCGTCTGAATAGCCATGCATGAGGTCTCTCCAGCCAAAAAGCTGTAATTTCCCTCATATTCCTAAAATAAAACATTTCAGGCTGCGGGGCCAGTGCGACCTATCGCAGTGTAAGTGACCCCCTCCACCCACCCCCACCTTCTGAGTGAGACCTGGCAGCGTTCCTGCTCTCTGTGCCAGGTCTCCTCCATGTCCTCCTGTGCGGAGCTCTGTGTGAGGGGAAGAGGTGGGCCTGGGGGGTGGGAAGTGACACCACTTCCTGCCTGCTCTCTCCTCTCCTGGACCGTGAGCTCTATAGAGATAAGAAGTAGCACTCAGCAGGTATGTATTTTTCTGGTAAATATTATCTGTAGCCTCTATCTCTTCTTGTGCCCACCTTAGCCTCCATCCCTCCCTGCACCCACCACAGCCTCCATCCCTCCCTGCACCCACCACAGGCTCCATCCCTACATGCACCCACCACAGCCTCTATCCCTCCCTGTAACCACCCTCAGCCTCCATCCCTCCCTGCACCCACCACAGCCTCCATCCCTCCCTGCACCCACCACAGGCTCCATCCCTACATGCACCCACCACAGCCTCTATCCCTCCCTGTAACCACCCTCAGCCTCCATCCCTCCCTGCACCCACCACAGCCTCCATCCCTCCCTGCACCCACCACAGGCTCCATCCCTACATGCACCCACCACAGCCTCTATCCCTCCCTGTAACCACCCTTAGCCTCCATCCCTCCCTGCACCCACCACAGCTTCCATCCCTCCCTGTAACCACCCTTAGCCTCCATCCCTCCCTGCACCCACCACAGCCTCCATCTCTCCCTGCACCCACCACAGCCTCCATCCCTCCCTGTAACCACCCTTAGCCTCCATCCCTCCCTGCACCCACCACAGCCTCCATCCCTACCTGCACCCACCACAGCCTCCATCTTTCCCTGTAACCACCCTTAGCCTCCATCCCTCCCTGCACCAACCACAGCCTCCATCCCTCCCTGTAACCACCCTCAGCCTCCATCCCTCCCTGTAACCACCCTCAGGCTCCATCCCTTCCTGTAACCACCCTCAGCCTCCATCCCTCCATGTAACCACCCTCAGCCTCCATCCCTCCTTGTAACCACTCAGGCAGGGAGATTTGGCGCTGTAACACAGACTTTGTTGTTGTTTTTTATGAAGTTGTTATGGTGCCTAAGCTGTCCCTTTAAGATATATAACATGGGTGTTTAACTTTGTTCATCCAGCTGCTGATCGACTGCATTTCCCCTAATTCCCTGCCAGTCAGCAGTTGTAAAATGGTGGGAATTGTTATGCAGCAACAGCTGTTGTGGACAAGGTGAGCTCCTACAACTTAATAATATATTTTATTCAACATCTGTAGTATTGGCTCTAAACATCGGTGATGTCATTCCAGGTGTACTCATCTGCATTTAACAGCACCACTGAATGCTTTTCAGAGCATGTTCTTATCTTACCCTTATTTCTGAAATGACTGTCTATAGATATGTTATATTTTAGATCTAAAATATAGACAATGAAATCTTCCAAATACTTAATCATCCATAGCAAAGCTGTAACTGATCTTGGGTAGTTGGGCTATATTTTAAAGGGGCATTTAATATGATGTTTACTGATTTCCTACATTTATCCAATATAGATTAGTGTGTGAAACTATACGCTATCCTAAAACTCTGCCCTTGGCATCTTACAGGCAGCAGAGAGGAGCATTAACCCCTTAAGGACCAAACTTCTGGAATAAAAGGGAATCATGACATGTCACATATGTCATGTGTCCTTAAGGGGTTAAAAAGGAGGAAACGAGAAGCAGAAAAAATATTTGGTTCTCTTCTTCCAATGCAGTGTGTGCCCACTAAACTGGACTGAACTGGTTAGTGATGCCAATTGCAAATTTTCTAATAAACATTTAAAAGAACAAGTTTAACACGATATGTAGGAAATTTTCAAACTTTATACAGTGCTGTAAGTTCCAGAAAATAGTTGTTTCCCCATTAACTTGAAATCCAAGCCAGTAAATATATTAAATTTCATACTATAAACTATAAAAAAAAAAATTAATTGTGAAGTAACCGTACTATATATTTGTTGCATGAGGTCAGGGCTGGCAGGTGAAGTGGACCAGCTGATAAATCAGAATAATTTGTAGTAATTTCTATGAAATCGCTTAGCTTATTAGAGCAGGACATTTTGGGACAGTACCTCCCTAGGTGTCAGACTCTTTTTGGGTGATCTTAATATTTAGAGAGGGTCCTCTCCACTAAAGTTGTGGTGAAATAAAAAAAAAGTTTTTTATTTTGTCCTACATTCTACAAATCAGTTTGCAAGTCATTGCTACTTGCTGTTTAGTGAACAGACCCCTTGCTGAGTTAAGGAGTATATCAGAGGACCACAGCAGTGCAATGCATATTACCAGTCTGAGAGATTATTCTAAAAGATCAGTGCATGAACATTCCATTGGTTTCCATGGTGATTGCTGCAGTTTTAGAACGTTGCCCTAGAATAGCACTATGTACAGAACCCCTAGTGTGGTCACAAATAACTTTGTATATATCAAATGCTTTTATTGTAATTGCCCAATGAAAATTCTATAAATTATATATGATCAGGTTACTAAGTTTAGTTTTAAACATCAGAAAACTCAAGTTTCCCAATAAATTCTGCCTTTATGAATGTATACAGTTTATTTAATTTAGAAAGACCAGACATGATCCTAGCCTGTAAGATTCAGTGGGGAATAAAGCTCCTTTATATAACCTGATAGCCAGTGAAATCTATCATTTAAACCACAAAAAATACAAAACAAAAAAAAAACAAGACTCCTAATCAGTAACTTCTAAACCATCTCATGTAGAAAGTGACTGATAATAAATACCCTCTAATATGAATGAGTTTAGATTTGGAAGTTTATTCTGAATCCCATGTGGCACTAAGTGAGCTGCTTGTAAACTAACCCTGGCTGTGCTACAGAAATCTCAACAAGGCAAAGCAGCCCTCAATGAGAGAATAGGGGGAGGCAGCCTAGTGGCAGGGGAGGGCTGAGAGACCAACAACAAGCTCAGAGAGCTCACTATAAGACTCAGTGGACAAGGAGGACGGTTATCTGATGAGGCTGAGAGACCAGGAGGTCCCACCATACAGCATAGGGCAGGGATTACAAGTCTGTAACCTGGGTCTGCAGTGCAAATATACAGGGTCAGATAGTCAATAGGATCAGCCCTGGGGCACATTCTAAGACTGGCTGCATCACAGCAGGGGTAGTAGAGTATCACTAAGCAAGACAGAGCTAGTTCTCTAAATAGCCAGAACACAGAGGTAGAAGGTTAGATAGTCAGCACACAGGGCTAGTAGGTTAAATACCCACAATATAAATGTAGCAGGGTAGATAGGTAGCAGCATAGAGGTAGTCGATTAGATAACCCTCACACAGTAGTAGTAGATTAGATATCCAGCACACAGGGGTAGTTGGTTAGAGAGTTAGCTCACATGAGTAGGAGGTTAGAAAGCCTGTAGTTGTGGGGTATTACATTAGATAAAAGAGCCCAGGGATAGTAAGTTGTATGGCCAGCACACGGGGCAATAGTTAAAATATCACAAAGGGGTAGTTGGTTTGTCAGTATCCCAAGGGTAGTAGGTTAGATAGTCAGCTGCCCAGAGGTAGTTGGTGCTGGTACAGGGGTACAGTCCAGGTTGGTCTTTTTGGAAGGGGGAGGGGGGAATCCGTGGACTACACTCCCCACTGCCAGGGATGAGGCTGCTGATCGGAGTGCACACTCACTGCTGCCCAGGACTGAGTGCCCTTGGAAGCCCACCATGCCCGAGCCTGGCCTGAGCTGAACCCCTGCCCGGGACCTAGCCGGCAACACCTGGATGTAACCCCGGACTGCAAGCACCCAGTGCAACCGCCAGGGGGCGACACAGACACCCACCCAGGCAGCTACCTACCGACCTAGACGGGGATTTAAATAGCACGTGGAGCACGGGAGAGCCTTGAGACCCCCTCCCCCCAGTCTGGCACTTAACCCCTTCCTCCCCAGCCTACCATTTAACCCCCTTCCTCCCCCAGTCTGGTATTTATCCCCCAGCCTGGTATTTAACCCCTTCCTCCCCCAGTCTGGTATTTATCCCCCAGCCTGGTATTTAACCCCTTCCTCCCCCAGCCTGACATTTAACCCCTTCCTCCCCCAGCCTGGCATTTAACCCCCAGCCTGGTATTTAACCCCTTCCTCCCCCAGCCTGGCATTTAACCCCTGACTGTGCACTGCCGTGTTTGAGGAGCGGCTGTTTTGGGGTTCAGGGGTGCAGCAGCCCATGTGTACCCCGGACCCTCAGCTCTCTGGAGGTGCTCCCAGCCGTTGACCCACCCCTCCCAGGGGAGACCCCATCTCGACCCCTCTCCTTCTCCTCCCCCGGCCGGCTGCCCCCTGTCCCGCGGTGGCTCCGAGGTGCTGTGCTGGTGGCGGTGGCTCCTCCACCCAGGCCGCTCCCCTGGACCCTGAGAGCGGGGGCTGCACGGCTAGCCCCCCCGAGCCGACACTGAAAGCTGGGCGCATCAAGAGGATGGTGAGACTGGCAGCCGAGCTGCTGCTACTGCTTGGACTACTCCTGCTCACCCTGCACATCACAGTACTCAGAGGGAACCCCGCCACCCCTGCCAATGCCAGCCAGCACCAGGTGAGTGACTACCTACCTGCCAGAAACACATTGGCCATCTGCATTGTCTCATTTCTTTCATTACCTAAATATATATATTGAGCTAGACTTGTTTCTTTATGTTTAATGGATGGATAGATGTTTGTAGAACTGTGGAGCCAGCCTTTCTTTTTTTTAGGAAAATGGAAGAAAAAATGGTCATCAAAAATCCTAAATTAACAGTCAACTAGTAAAGGTTCCCTCTAAGTGCAGTCAGTCTCTGGCTGATGGGATTTGTCAAGCACTATATATACCCTGATATCCCAGGTGTCTCTGAACCTCATTGCTTATTAAGTCTACTGGAGAATCCTGGGAAATGTATTTCACCAACACCTGGAGTGCCAGGGGTAGCTATCACTGGCATGTAGGGTGACCAGGACCACTGAAGACCACCACCATCTCCTCTGACTGTCCAGCTGTGCCCTCCATTTCCACAACAGCTGGAGGGCCAAAGGTCATCCATCACTATTCTACACCAAGCTGTGAAGAATGGGCTTGTTGGATGGGTGCTGTGATGTAATGTGTTTATGTGGACAGATACTTGAGAAGGTGTCACATCTTGTCTCCTTTTATAGTTTTGTTATGTTTCGAGGATGGATTAGTGTATCAAAAGAATCTTACACAAGATTTTTTTTTTGTTCCTCCAGCTTCCAGCCACAGTTAATTTATTTTTCGAGTCATTTTATGGTCTCTCAGTGCATTTAGGACCCTGAGAATGTGCAATGTAAATATTGGTAGTTGTGTCAGATAAAGGGACCTGGCACAAGATGAAAAGACACACAAGTTGCAAGTTGGCAACTGTCACTTGAATGATTTTCTGTCGTGTACTTAACACTCTATTGAATGGTCCTGCAAAGTGACAAGATTGTAAACGTTGTTGGCAAGGATTCAAGATTTCAAACTTTTTTTTTTTTTACCTTTGTAATTCTACAATATGTGAGTACATTTGTCAAAACATTACCTTGTCTGAAAACTCACATTTTTGTTTCCATTATTATAGAAAGTTGGTATAATGACTATACACCACCAACGCAGGACACACAGGGCTATTCAAGAGTTGCTTGTAATGAATTCAAAGTACATTTCAAATTATAGACCAAAATAGGGAAACTATAATCATAGCTGAATGGGAGAATCATACCAATTTGTCTGTCGTGGCCCTAAACTTGAAAATAAATTTTGTGATAAATTACCAACAATTCACAATTTAGTGTATATCTATGATAGTTTTTATGAATCTTCTTACAATAGCCCTAGCCAGAAATATTTGTGTTTGTTCCATCAAACTGTTTATGATGACTGTAAATTGGATCAATGAGTGAGGGGGAGTCACTGTGTTTTGATATTTAAAACTACCATGGCATTTCCTATACTTACAAAGGGTCATAACCCCTTGAGTGTCACAGAGGTGAGAAATTAGTTCTCTTGCAATGCATTCCAACTCTCTGACACTCCTTAATGCTAAAACTTATAGTAGCTTTATAACCTTGTACGTGTGCATGGGTAGAACACATTGCGTTACATGCTTAAAGTGCACACGCTTAATGCAAAAAGGTATTTGAGTCAAGGAAGCTTCGTTGAGATCTAGTGAGCAAACACTGGGATCTGTTGAGGTTGAGTTTCCTGAATAATTTTAAGACATTTAGTTTTTGCCCGCTTTTCTTGGGCTGTGGTCTGTTTATTTTAAATCCAAAATGTTCTAATTGTCTCAGTCAGGACTGTATAGAGTTAGTTCTTAGTCTGATTTTCAGTGAAGTAATCTTTGCATCATTTAGTGTTTTTCCAGAATATACTCCTTCTATAATCTTGGTATCTCTCTATATTGTTATAACCTTCCAGTATATGTACCTAACATGACATGTTCTATGATCTTGAGTCCTTGGCAATATTTTACATTACCAACTGCCTCTCTGGAACTCTACTCACATTATTCAGAATCCAGTAAGTGGAAGCTACCCAAAGCCACTTGACTCACCAGATGACATGCCCGCACAGTGTATGGCAGCGCAGGGGACCAGCTGAAGGAAGATATACTTACTTGGAGCCCTCCCTCACACCATCGCTCATGCAGAGGTCTGTGGAAGATTCCACAGGACGGCTAGAAGAAAACTTTAACTACAGCTGTCACTAGTCATTGGTGGGAATTTGCAAAGCTTGACGGAAGTTCTGGCTTTTGTCAACCACAGATGGATGGTTTGACAGTTACCTGGCCCTTGCGTCTATAAACCTTCCCGTCTGCACTGATATGCTAAAGCTGAATTTCATACTTTGACATTAGCAATATAAGTTTTGTGCATCTTTGGACTTTATTCATTGTCTGAACTTTATTCATTGTCAATGTGCTGCAGTGGTTATGGTGCTAAAAGTATCCCTTTAATGTTCCAAGTGCTGTGGACTTTGTGGGTATTATATAAATGACAATAATAATAATAACAATATCAACTTTATTGGGGCAACAGCAGCAATGGTTCGACCAAACTAAGTCTTTATCAAGCTTGATAAAGACCCGATTGGGTCAAAACGTTGCTGCTCTTGCCCCAATAAAGCTGCTATTTGTGTAACTACCCTGAGTGCATGGACCATTATTTGTAATACATATCTGTAAGTGAGGCCTGATGAGCCCTGGATCTGGAGCATCTTGGTTGTTTGGTGAGTACGGTATCCACCATCTCTTTAATAATAATAATAATAATAACTATTTACGAAAGTGGTTAGCGTACATGTGTAATGGGAAAATATATGGGGGAGAGTTTAAATTTAAAATACTAAGAAAATGGAATGCCTAAATATTAGTGGAACAGACATATTCATGCTTTTTACTTAAATTACAACCATATATCTTTATTTAGTTGACCCACCTATTAGGTGCCCTCACTGATTTCTATTATTTAGCCTTCATGTTTATTGGCAAAAATTTCAGGATTCGATGTTCTGTGTTTGTCACACTCAGTGGCACATTAGTGTAGACAGGGGTTTGACATCCATTTTGTCGGGCATATTGATAACTTCTGATACAGCCAAATACAGAAGCCAGCCAGCATGACTTATATTGGCATTCAAACAGGACTACAACCTCTGAGACATTTATACAAATCAGCACATGGCACATGATACAAATCGCTTATATCCCATGATGCGGTGTGTATGATTCCATGTCATTCAGGATTCAATGTTCTGTGTTTGTCACACTCAGTGGCACATTAGTGTAGACAGGGGTTTGACATCCATTTTGTCGGGCATATTGATAACGTCTGATACAGCCAAATACAGAAGCTAGCAAGCATGACTTATATTGGCATTCAAACAGGACTACAACCTCTGAGACATTTATACAAATCAGCACATGGCACATGATACAAATCGCTTATATCCCATGATGCGGTGTGTATGATTCCATGTCATTCAGGATTCAATGTTCTGTGTTTGTCACACTCAGTGGCACATTAGTGTAGACAGGGGTTTGACATCCATTTTGTCGGGCATATTGATAACGTCTGATACAGCCAAATACAGAAGCTAGCAAGCATGACTTATATTGGCATTCAAACAGGACTACAACCTCTGAGACATTTATACAAATCAGCACATGGCACATGATACAAATCGCTTATATCCCATGATGCGGTGTGTATGATTCCATGTCATCGTGGGTGGGTGTTGCCTGGGTACCCAACACATATAGGGTACCACTTGAACCTCTTGTACCCCTGATAATCTTAAATATTTAAATAGCTAGAGGATTGAGTAAAACATAAGCTGTCGCCAACAAAAAGTCCATTCATAAAGTCTACACCAGAAGCCTCAAACGTAATTTATCTGAGGACCAATGGCTTCTCACAAGTGGCTGCTCATCAATAATCTCTAATTAAGGTGCCACCAGCACCCGCTTATGTCCTCAGGCAAGAGGAAGGCAGTTAGGGAGCCCCAAATGGCTTTTAACTTGGGTTGGAGACCCCTGGTCTACACAAATCTGAGGAGCAAGCAGTGACATTTTTCGCATCTTTGTGTATCTTTGGGACAGTTTCCTGTTGGTTGTGATGATATCAAAGCAGTATCAACAACCAGAATAAACACATTTTAAGCAGACAAAAAGCAAATTAAATACAATAAAGATAGCCCGTCTCAATGAGAATACGTTAGTTTTGGTTGGATTTAATTTGTCCACAAAATCAATAGTGCATACATTTTAAAGTTACAAAATGGGATATCTTACAGTCTAGCCCATTTTATTTATTTGCATTACATAGTTTTCCTTTATCTAAACTTTGGGTGTGAATTCACTAAATTGATCATTTTTTAATATTTACAAAGCATTTCAAATATTAGGCCTAACTCAATTACCATTTTGGCCTATTTCCTCCCCTCAATTGTTGTCAAATATAATTTCTCCTTTTAGTTAATAAATGCCATTAAGTAACATGCTCAAACATCTATTCCCTGCTTTTAAAGACAATGGCAAGTTCGTAGCAGCTAAACCCGTTTTTTTAGAGTTTAACATTTAAGTGGCATGGTCCCCTTTATATATATCAATATGACAGAGGAATTAAATCCATTTATTGCAACCTACTGATGTCTTAACCTGTCATGTCGACCATATAAATGAGTACGTTTATGCTTTGAAGCAACTCAAGTCTTCTTCAAAGCATGAAATCTTTAAATATGTTTATTATCCAAGAAATCTTGATTAATCGCGGATCGTCAGAAGCGTTCAGTGTTTGAGCAATGTCCGAATGGGAGAACTGTGATTGCTGTTTACGCACATGTATTTGTGTGTAAGTGCTTCCAAAGTGTGTTACATTAAATTGTAATTTCTGTGTTTAATGTTCCACATCTAGGAATTTTCCACTAAGGAAAAGACTAGTCTCAGGTTTTTACTGGGATGTGCATGAAGGCATTCTGTCTTGCTGATGCACAGTTCTGCATGGGTGCTTTTGGAAGCTGATGGGGGGAGGTAGTCTGGTGTCCCGTTTCATTTTTTTTTCCTTCTAATTTTATTGATGCTAAAAACTTCTAAGGGAGGATTCAAGTGCAGTTTAAATATGTAATTAAATCCATGCGTTGCTGCAGTCCATGAATAACTTCTCCTTTTGCTAAATCTTTTCAAACAAAAATGAAATTGTGAGGAGTTCCCTTGCTAGGATTGGAGAAGATTCTAAATAAGATTATTTTTGTGACTCTGCTCAGATTCCATTTTTAGAACTTTTTGTTTGTTTGTATGTATACATATATACGTAAATATAGGTGCATTCTAAGCAACGTAAACCACTACTTGCTGCTACAGTGGTTATAGTGCTAGTAGGCAGCAGGCGCAATATATAAATAAATCACCAAATAGACTCCAGTGATGAGTCCTAGAAAAGAGACAAGGCTCTATTTAATGATTTAAAGAAACATAGAAATACCTTTACTTATCATAATACATGCCCGATGCAATGTTATTTATAGTGATGTCCCGAACAGTTCGCCGCGAACGGTTCGCCGCGGACTCATCAGTGAGTAAACTTTGACCCTGTACCTCACAGTCAGCAGACACATTCCAGCCAATCAGCAGCAGACCCTCCCGTTCGCGAACCGTTCGGGACATCACTAGTTATTTATTATTATTTTATTATTTATACAGCGCCAGAAAATTCCATAGCGCTGTACAATGGGTGGACTAACAGACATGTAATTGTAACCAGACAAGTGGACCCTGCTCAGTGAGCATTATTGTAGTTGTTGTACCTGCTCTGGTACTTAGACTGCCCCATTAAATCACTGAATTCTAGAAGTTAATAGTTGCTTGTAGTAGCTAAATAGTTGCTTGTGAGTTGCTTGTCAGCTTGCAGAATGTAGACAAAAATATAATAGACTTGATTATTGAATATTTATTTCCCAGATCTGCTATATTGGTCAACATACTATGTGTCAGTAGTCACCTTTCCAAAATGAAATGGTGAATAAACTCCTTTGGTGGTGATGGCACCTGCTATTAGCCAACTAGAAGTTAGACATTTATTGAGCTTTTTTTTCAATAAAAACATTTTAATTCTATTTTTTTTTTTTTTTTGGTCTGGATCAATTGCCAAACTGTCTTGACACAACTTGGCATTGCGTGCAGATTAGCTGTCTGTGTAAGATTCCACGATGCTGCTGGATCCTCTTCACATGTTTTCATACACGTGTAGAGAGGTGAGAGCAATGCCACAGGCATTTGTGGTGTATCATACAAGAAGAGGATGTTTGCTACCAGCCATTACACCACTAACAGGTGAAATTAGACATAGACTTTCCAACAATAGACATTCTAGATGGAAAGATTTGCAATTACCGATATAAAATCAGAGAATAACAAATTTATGTTGTTTGAAGTATGAAATGGGGATAAGAGTGGCTAGAGGCCAGAAGAATCAAGAAGATTGAAAAAAAAAAAACCCGGAATGTCAAAACTGGAGTCACAAATAAGGACTGTCCTGTCAGTTCAGGGACGGTAGGGAGGTATGCAGTACAATGGTGCTTATTATTCCAAAATACTCTCGGAGTTTTATCACATTTATGTAAAGGAGCCATCTTGCTGTATGATGTCTACTTAGAAAAGGGAGGGACAAAGGTTTAGAGGGACAAAGGTTTAAAAATAATATCAGGAAGTATTACTTTACTGAGAGGGTAGTGGATGCATGGAATAGCCTTCCAGCTGAAGTGGTAGAGGTTAACACAGTAAAGGAGTTTAAGCATGCATGGGATAGGCATAAGGCTATCCTAACTATAAGATAAGGCTAGGGACTAATGAAAGTTTTTAGAAAATTGGGCAGACTAGATGGGCCGAATGGTTCTTATCTGCCGTCACATTCTATGTTTCTATGTTTCTAAAAGAAGAAGCCTTCTTCCACCTTCCGATTTTCTACAAGGGTGCTTAGATTTTGGTTATCCGCGAAAAAATATTTATATTTGAATAGTTGTTTCAAGAGAAAAACAAAATCCTGAGAAATGCCCATTCTCCATCCATTTCAATTTATTTGACCAATGCAACACGCAATCCCCCCTGTGCTGGATATTTATTCCACCCCATGTCCCGTGCTAATCTCTTTATATATTTACCCCATGACACCAGCTTCAAAGGCGTGCAATAAATGAAATGTCATAGTCATGTAAATTAAGCCAAGATGGCTAAACCAAGTAAAGTAAGCATTCTGAAAAGTTCCATTCGGCCTAAGGATAATGTGAGTGTTACAGGAGAGATTTGAAGGGAACCCACTGAAAGGGTTCTAGTGCGTTAAGGTATTTATCACAAAGTGTCTGACAGTCAGTCCTTTGATCTCGTTCCTCTGTGTGTGTGTTTTCATTTGGGAATGGGTGAAATCCTTACCCTTCCAGTAAATCTAATTGGCCTAGTGCAGGGGCCTGTAAGACGCATTGTCTTAGTTCTTTGAATAGTTTAATAACGTTCTAAGGATATTTGGCGATATGTAGTCTGGCGGTGCTGGAGTGTTTGAGTTCCCTTGGCCTTTTTTTTTTATTCGTGTTTTATTGTTTTATTTTTCCCCCTTCTTTTTTTTTCAGTAGCTTAAACTTGACTTTCTTTCCGACAAATAAAGATAACAAAACAGCTGGAAAAGTGAATAAAATAGAGATGGCACTTCTAAGGAGAAAAACACTGACATTCTCCAAGAAGAAAATACTGCTGTTGAAAAGATCATCATTTTTTTTCCCCCTGACAATTTAAGAGAACATCTGTGCGTGATTGAAGTAACTACCTTCCCCGGTAGTAGTTGCCGTGTTGTTTGATATTTGATATCGCAATAGCTAGCTTTCTTTCTGCACTCCATAATGAATATCACAGATCTGTTTGTAGCTCATTAAATATCTTGCTGTTAGTTTCATCGCTGTATATATCTATTTACATACATACTTTCTCCTGGAATGATTGCAATGTTGTATCTCAGGTAAAGTTTATTTTTTTTCCCATCACCTAATGGATGTGGGTTGTGTGTTTTTCTATCTTTTTCCTTTTTTTTTTTTTTTTCAAGGAAGACAAACATGTATTCCTGACACTATAGTGTTTAACTATGTAGGTACCTGGCCCCTCTTATATCCCATGGGATGGGTGTTTTTTCTCTGATGGTCTCGCCGCGGCTGCCAGCCCTTCCATGGATGATCTGGGGGTCTGGAGTCTGTATATGCATCTTTTCGCTATGGATCTCTGCATTTACAGATTTTAACCCCTGTGCTTCTTGAGGTGTAACTCCACCCCAGCCAGCATTAGGGTGGCTAATGTCAATTATGTACATATATATATGCACATAGTTGCATTCATTGACTGAGAGCGTTCAGCTGACACTCTCAGCCAGTGAATAGCCGATGGGTTTGGCATCCGGCTTCTGCAGCTCTGCAGAATATAGATGCATGTCTCGGGTACTGGAGAACCCTGAGTGCTTGACAGGACCTTCTTAAGGGGGAAAACGTTTGCAAAACAGATAGGGACTAATTTTAGCAAATGTATTTTTTCTACCCTTGACAAGCTTGACAAAAGTTGGAGCTACTGTCTGTCAGGCCTGCACCTCCAGGTCTCCTCATGGCAAGCAGAGCAGTCATCATCTGGGGTCTATGCAAAATATGCAAAGAAGGTGACAGAGCCGCTTTAACATCGAGTCAATATCCTGAGGCTTAAGTGCAGCATGTGGTGTTGGTTTTCAGTAACCCCTGCTATCCATTCATAGTGTGTAACTGTATTACTGTGCAGTCAACTCCCTCTACCTCACTTCCTAGCTCGTCACCAAAGCATTACATGTATATTAACTCACTGCTATATCCAGTGAGCTATATCAACCTCACTATCTAACTTGTCACCAACTATGGCTGTAATTGCCGTAATTCCTTCCTTCCTCGTTGCTGACACAGACAAACACATAGGTGAGGAGTGGGAGTGATGTCTAGTGCTCTAGTATATGTGAGTGTGTGTCACTGAACCCACACATTACAAATATATTCACTCACTGCTTCACACATACACTACCCATACATTACATGTATATTCACTCACTCATTGCTTCACACATACACTACCCATACATTACATGTATATTCACTCGCTGCTTCACACATACACTACCCATACATTACATGTATATTCACTCACTGCCTCACACATACACTACCCATACATTACATGTATATTCACTCACTGCTTCACACATACACTACCCATACATTACATGTATACTCACTCACTGCTTGACACATATACTACCCATACATTACATGTATATTCACTCGCTGCTTCACAATTCACATATACACAATCCACACATTACATATATATTCACTCATTGCTTTACATTATCACCCAGATATATTCTGTGAGGGTGATACATTGTAATTGAGGGATGCATTGACTTGGCTGGACTTGGGACAGCTATAAACCTAAAGGGACACTCTAGTAGCATAAGATTTAGAATTGTAAATCTGATAATATATTATAATTTAATGGGACACTATTGCCACACTGACCTTTTCATGTTATTGAATTGAATATAGTGCGTGAAGTCCCCTGGCACTATCCCTCCATTCACTGTTAAACCACTTTGTGCAGTTTAACACTAAATAATGGTCCCTGGCTTCCCATAGCCTGGCCCTACTGGAGAGGTGGCTAAGAGAGACATTACACACTTCCTTTTAGCAATAACGATTTATACCTGCAATGAGCACTGCGATTGACTAAAAGCGATCAGCTGACATTCTCAGTCAATCACATCCGCCATTTCTGTTCAGGTGAATGCTTCCTCATTAGCCAGAGCAGCACCGAGGGAATGGGCTGCTGGACACTCTCATTTACCATTTGGACATTAAAAGTACAGTAATTCAACACTGAACGGAAGGACAAGTGTCCAGGGACTCCAGACACTATAACCACTAGGCATGTGCATGGGGAATATGTTCAGTTCGGCATTCCAAAATTCAGGACTTCGACACTTCGGAAATTCGATAATTTCGGGACTTCGACCATTTGGCAATTCGGCAATTCATCTATTCGGACATTCGGAAGTACCCGAATGTCCGAATTTCCCGAAATTTGTCCGAATTCACATTCAGACCGAAACGAATTGCACATGTCTAATAACCACTTCAATGAGATGAAACGGTTACAGTGACTACAATGTTTCTTTAAGAATAGATCACCTGGCTCATTTTATAATTGTGGAATGGATCGTCACATGAATGTCTTGTTAACGCATAATTTGGGCATATTACGTTTAAAAACCACTGTTATAAATGGTATTTATAGAGCAAGCACTCTTCCATTGCTGGCAGCTGCAGGTGGTTTAAATTATTACAATTAATACATTTTTTAACATGTTTCCAATATATTTTAAAGCAGGTGGTGGAAGAACATAAAAAATGTACAAGATCATTAAATGCTCAGAGATTTTTTTAAGGGGATATCAGTGCAGTGTGGTAAAAATGTGGAATGTACATTTTTATACTGTGTTTCTAAATAGATCATGGTTTAACATCAATGTATATTTTTATTACTCATGCCAAATGTCCTCTAATGTTTGCTCAGGGTGGATGGTAGGAACCGCACTCATTCCCAGCGGCCATGGGTGCTCCAGAGCAGGACCAGCAATCCCAGAATAACAGGCAAAGAAGAAAGACTCACAGGCACTCCGAATTCAAGCCGCAGGTAGTTTTATTGTAACAGAATGCAATGCAACGTTTCGACCGTAAAGGTCTTTTTCAAGCTTGAAAAAGACCTTTACAGTCGAAACGTTGCGTTGCATTCTGTTACAATAAAACTGCCTGTGGCTTGAATTCACAGTGCCTGTGAGTCTTTCTTCTTTCTCTAATGTTTGCTCGTCATGAATATTTGTGTTGGCTATTTTGTTCTTTAATAGGGGAATTCACAAAGGTGGTGGGCCGGAAATATTTTGCATTAAGGCACAAAATGTATCTGTTTAGATGCATTTTTACTAAAATCTTAATAAATTTCACTTTCATCATCAGGAAAGGTCAAACAATTCAATCCTCCTTTTGCCATGAAATGCTGATTAACCCCTTAAGGACCAAACTTCTGGAATAAAAGGGAATCATGACATGTCACACATGTCATGTGTCCTTAAGGGGTTAAATCTGTCTGCACGTGTTCTGTCTTATGGTTTTGAGTAGTGTTTTAAAAATAAAATCTTGCTTTACGTTTTGTCGTGCGTGTAATTATAGAATGTTAAAATAATATTTTCAGACTATCATGGCACCTTATAGGTGCTAAACGTTATGTCTAGCAGTTGTGTACAATTGTCTTCTAAGGACCTTAAAAGAAAACTCTACCATTAACAATAAAGATATTGTTTCTTCATACTTTTAGATACAGGGTCCCCTTGCAAAAAAAAAACACCCATTAAACTCCGCAGTTAACCCTATGCTGGGACAGACTTCATCCAGCAATTGTCTTCTCTCTGCTTTTGAGATCATTCTAACTGGTGATCATTCGTCCAATACAATGCTACCGATAGAGATGTATTAGGGATCTATGGTTCATTCGTGGCAACCACCACCCTCTGCCAGTCAGATACTTGATCTAGAGAAGGCAAACATGAAGAGTTTCAGTAATTACTCATTGAAGGCTTCCAATAAGTGTCTTTAGTGACTATCAGTTTGCCGCTAGATGTGTATTTATGGTCAAATACAAACATTGATGTTTATCTGAAACAGAAATTTTTATATTGCCAGGAAAAAAAAACTTACTGCTATGGCCACATGGGTTATACAGCTATGGCCATGATGCTATGGCCACATGGGTTATACTGCTATGGCCATGATGCTATGGCCACATGGGTTATACTGTTATGGCCACATGGGTTTTACTGCTATGGCCATGATGCTATGGCCACATGGGTTATGCTGCTATGGCCACATGGGTTATGCTGCTATGGCCATGCTGCTATGGCCACATGGGTTATACTGCTATGGCCACATGGGTTATACTGCTATGGCCATGATGCTATGGCCACATGGGTTATGCTGCTATGGCCATGATGCTATGGCCACATGGGTTATGCTGCTATGGCCATGATGCTATGGCCACATGGGTTATGCTGCTATGGCCACATGGGTTATGCTGCTGTGGCCACATGGGTTATGCTGCTGTGGCCACATGGGTTATACCGCTATGGCCATGATGCTATGGCCACATGGGTTATGCTGCTATGGCCATGATGCTATGGCCACATGGGTTATACTGCTATGGCCACATGGGTTATACTGCTATGGCCATGCTGCTATGGCCACATGGGTTATACTGCTATGGCCATGATGCTTTGGCCACCTGGGTTATGCTGCTATGGCCACATGGGTTATGCTGCTATGGCCATGATGCTATGGCCACATGGGTTATACTGCTATGGCCATGATGCTATGGCCACATGGGTTATGCTGCTATGGCCACATGGGTTATGCTGCTATGGCCACATGGGTTATACTGCTATGGCCATGCTGCTATGGCCACATGGGTTATGCTGCTATGGCCACATGGGTTATACTGCTATGGCCATGCTGCTATGGCCACATGGGTTATACTGCTATGGCCATGATGCTATGGCCACATGGGTTATACTGCTATGGCCACATGGGTTATACTTCTATGGCCATTCTGCTATGGCCACATGGGTTATACTGTTATGGCCATGATGCTATCACCACATGGGTTATGCTGCTATGGCCACATGGGTTATACTGCTATGGCCATGATGCTATGGCCACATGGGTTATGCTGCTATGGCCATGATGCTATGGCCACATGGGTTATACTGCTATGGCCATGCTGCTATGGCCACATGGGTTATGCTGCTATGGCCATGCTGCTATGGCCACATGGGTTATACTGCTATGGCCATGATGCTTTGGCCACCTGGGTTATGCTGCTATGGCCACATGGGTTATACTGCTATGGCCATGATGCTATGGACACATGGGTTATACTGCTATGGCCAAATGGGTTATGCTGCTATGGCCACATGGGTTATGCTGCTATGGCCATGCTGCTATGGCCACATGGGTTATACTGCTATGGCCACATGGGTTATGCTGCTATGGCCATGCTGCTATGGCCACATGGGTTATACTGCTATGTCCATGATGCTATGGCCACATGTGTTATGTTGCTATGGTCACATGGGTTATACTGCTATGGCCATGATGCTATGGCAACATGGGTTATGCTGCTATGGTCATGATGCTATGGCCACATGGGTTATGCTGCTATGGCCACATGGGTTATGCTGCTATGGCCATGCTGCTATGGCCACATGGGTTATACTGCTATGGCCACATGGGTTATACTGCTATGGCCATGATGCTATGGCCACATGGGTTATGCTGCTATGGCCATGCTGCTATGACCACATGGATTATGCTGCTATGGCCACATGGGTTATGCTGCTATGGCCATATGGGTTATGCTGCTATGGCCACATGGGTTATGCTGCTATGGCCATGCTGCTATGGCCACATGGGTTATACTGCTATGGCCATGATGCTATGGCCACATGTGTTATGTTGCTATGGCCACATGGGTTATACTGCTATGGCCACATGGGTTATGCTGCTATGGCCACATGGGTTATGCTGCTATGGTCACATGGGTTATGCTGCTATGGCCATGCTGCTATGGCCACATGGGTTATGCTGCTATGGCCACATGGGTTATACTGCTATGGTCACATGGGTTATGCTGCTATGGCCACATGGGTTATGTTGCTATGGCCATGCTGCTATGGCCACATGGGTTATACTGCTATGGCCATGATGATATGGCCACATGGGTTATGCTGCTATGGCCACATGGGTTATGCTGCTATGGCCATGATGCTATTGCCACATGGGTTATGCTGCTATGGCCACATGGGTTCTACTGCTATGGCCATGATGCTATGGCCACATGTGTTATGCTGCTATGGCCACATGGGTAGACTGCTATGGCTATGATGCTATGGCCACATGGGTTATGATGCTATGGCCATGATGCTATGGCCACATGGGTTATACTGCTATGGCCATGCTGCTATGGCCACATGGGTTATACTGCTATGGCCATGATGCTATGACCACATGGGTTATGCTGCTATGGCCACATGGGTTATACTGCTATGGCTATGATGCTATGGCCACATGGGTTATACTGCTATGGCTATGATGCTATGGCCACATGGGTTATACTGCTGTGACCATGCTGCTATGGCCACATGGGTTATACTGCTATGGCCATGCTGCTATGGCCACATGGGTTATGCTGCTATGGCCACGTGGGTTATACTGCTATGGCCATGATGCTATGGCCACATGGGTTATACTGCTATGGCCATGATGCTATGGCCACATGGGTTATACTGCTATGGCCACTTGGGTTATGCTGCTATGGCCACATGGGTTATGTTGCTATGGCCAGATGGGTTATGCTGCTATGGCCACTTGGGTTATACTGCTATGGCCACTTGGGGTATGTTCCTATGGCCACATGGGTTATGCTGCTCTGGCCATTTGAGGTAGCGCTGGCTTTTGCTGTTCCTAAATGTTTTTTCTTTAAATCTGTGGAATGTGGTTGGTTACCTCAAAGGAAAAAGCTTTAATATTCTAAAGTGTATATAGACCATAGGGTTCTCAAACACTGTTTTGGTTGGGCAAATATTTGGAGAGGTCCTACATGCTCCCCCCATGATTTCTGTCAGAACAAGAATATCATTTTGAGCCTGCAGTTTATTTGTGGAAAATAATCCTTTTATGTTTTTGAAAGACTATGCATATTTATTTTAATCATTACTTTTTATTGTCAAAATATGTTATGATACTGTATTAGGGGTTCTGTGTAGCTGCGTTCAGGTACTGGACAAACTGCTTTTTTTATTTATGTGAGCTGTTGACTTTCATAAAAAAAATGTAAATTTTTGAAGTTTGAATTTTGTATGGCTTTGTTTTTTTTTTTAATCCTAATTTACTAAGAAACATTCCTCTACACTGCAGAGATAGAGCTGTAATGACTGAGCTGAGGTAATAGGTTAATTGGACATCCGATAATTTTCGAAGTCGCACATGTTTGAGTGACTGATGTTGTAGAATAGGCATCAGAGGCGAGTCTCAATCTCAGTGTTCCTTCTCCCTTGTAACAGATTAAATTCTCGGTTTTGGTTTGCCAACTTTTAAATTTTTCTTCTAAAATTTATTTTTCTTTTCTGAACTTATTAAACCATTAGTTTTTTTTCGCTTTTATTTGTTTTATTTTAAGAAACTTTTGGATGACAGAAGACTATACATCGGCAAGACTTTAAGAGGGCTCCAGTTAATCCGGCTTCTGACCTTTGCCGTTTGAAATGCACCTGTTTCTCTTTTAAACCATCTCTAAAGAGATTCCTCTCCAAACACTAAACTCTATTTAGAAATGCAATCGCAAGAGACTGCCGGGATTATCTAATAAGTGTAATGTGAACTTTCAGTTCCTAACTTTAGCAGTAATTTCGAAACCAGTAAAATCAGCCGTTGTGCTTATCCTCAGACTTCAGTCTTTTATAAACCATACTCAAAGTCATAGTCAAGCCATACTCAAAGTCATAGTCAAGCCATACTCAAAGTTACCGTAGATAGATACAGGATGGAACGATTCCATTTGATATAATTCAGTGCTTAGCATTGTTGTTGGTTTGCATTTACTTTCTGCTTGCTAAGCGATACATTGGATGGATAGATAGATATTGTGACTCAGAACCCATCTTTAGTTATATAAAAATAGACTAACTCAGAAACCACATTTAATTAGATACAGATATACTCAGAACCCAGCTTTAATTAGATACAGATAGACCAACTCAGAATCCACCTTAAGCTTGATGCAGATAGATTTACTTGGAACCAATATTTAGTTAGATACAGATAGACTGACTCAGAACCCACTAGACGATAAAGAGAGACTGACTCAGAACCCACTAGACGATAAAGAGAGACTGACTGCTATGGCCACATGGGTTATGATGCTATGGCCACATGGGTTATGCTGCTATGGCCATGCTGCTATGGCCACAGGGGTTATACTGCTATGGCCACATGGGGTATGCTGCTATGGCCACATGGGTTATACTGCTATGGCCATTCTGCTATGGCCACATGGGTTATACTGCTATGGCCACATGGGTTATACTGCTATGGCCATGATGCTATGGCCACATGGGTTATACTGCTATGGCCACATGGGGTATGCTGCTATGGCCACATGGGTTATACTGCTATGGCCATTCTGCTATGGCCACATGGGTTATACTGCTATGGCCACATGGGTTATACTGCTATGGCCATGATGCTATGGCCACATGGGTTATGCTGCTATTTATCTACTAGTGGGTTCTGACTCAGAACCCACTAGTAGATACAGATAGACTGACTCAGAACCCATTGTTAGATACAGATAGACTGACTCAGAACCCATCGTTAGATACACATAGACTGACTTAGAACCCACCATTAAGTATAGAAAGACTGACTCAGAACCCACCAGTAGATACAGAAAGATTGACTCAGAACCCACCCTTAGATATGGAGAGACTGACTCAGAACCCACCATTAGATATAGTGAGACTGACTCAAAACCCACCATTAGATATAGAAAGACTGACTCAGAACCCACTAGTAGATACAGATAGACTGAACCCACCATTAGATACAGATAAACTGGCTCAGAACCCACCTGTAGAAATAGATAGACTGACTCAGAACCACCTTTAGTTAAATACAGGTAGACTGATCCAGAACCCACCATTAGAGATAGACTGACTCTGAACACACCTTTATATAGACACAGATTGACTTAGAGCTATTTTACTGAGAAAGATACAGAACGATGTGACTTATTGTAAGCTGACTTATTTCCTCTGTATATCGATGAAGGTGAAATGATGGGAAGATCTATTCAGTCAAGAATGGAATCTGGCACTAAATTATTAAATTAATCTTAAAATGAGAATTTTTCTGTATTACTGCTGTGCAGCATGCCAAGGAGGGAACGCTTGAATAAATATAGCAATGCAGCAGGTTTCCCTGGTAATTATTATTACATTAAAAATAATACATCTCTGTATCTGCTACCCATCCGACACAATGTAAAATAGATTAATAAATTCTAACTGTACCATGAGTTATTTAGCAAAACACAAACTATGCTTTTTATTGCTGTATTGATTAGTGTCCATTTTGTTATTTTATTTGTGTGTGAAATTAGATATAAATGTAAGGTTCTATGAGAAATCCCTTTGTCCGAAATCAAATACTCCAGATGAGATTTATCACGTTGTGTGCTACTACTTAAATCAGAACTCCATGTAATCCCCTACCAGGTGGGTATGTAAACTCGTTGAGTGTGACTATCCTATTTAAAGGGAATGAAGCCAAGCTTCACGTTTTTCACATTGACTGTGTCTACCAGCAGGGAGTCTTTGATGTTGTAACAATAGAACATGCTTACAGTGAAAGATTAGGACCCCTGACATAGAGCCTGTTGTCTTTAACCCATGTGTTACGTGAGCTTCTTATAGAATACTCACTATTTTGGCAGATAAAACCACCTGGGCTCGCTTGACGACTGTACTTTAAAGGGACACTACAGGTTAGAGGTTATCATCATTTTTTATTTATTCTATACGTAATGTATTACAAAATGGATGGAGATTACACATATTAAAGTTCATGTAATTGCTGCAAATTCCAAGTATTAAAAGTATCTGCAGTAAGATCTGTCCAGGTGAGTAAGTTGCACAGCCAATCATTATTCTCCAATTATCCTCACACACGATCGAATGGGGCGAGATTTTTTCAATTTGTTTGATTTATTCTTAAAGGAACACTATAGTCACCTAAATTACTTTAGCTAAATAAAGCAGTTTTAGTGTATAGATCATTCCCCTGCAATTTCACTGCTCAATTCACTGTCATTTAGGAGTCAAATCACTTTGTTTCTGTTTATGCAGCCCTAGCCACACCTCCCCTGGCTATGATTGACAGAGCCTGCATGAAAAAAAATGGTTTTACTTTCAAACAGATGTAATTTACCTTAAATAATTGTATCTCGATCTCTAAATTGAACTTTAATCATATACAGGAGGCTCCTGCAGGGTCTAGCAAGCTATTAACATAGCAGGGGATAAGAAAATCTTAATTAAACAGAACTTGCAATAAAGAAAGCCTAAATAGGGCTCTCTTTATAGGAAGTGTTTATGGAAGGCTGTGCAAGTCACATGCAGGGAGGTGTGACTAGGGTTCATAAACAACGGGATTTAATTCCTAAATGGCAGAGGATTGAGCAGTGAAGCTGCAGGGGCATGTTCTATACACCAAAACTGCTTCATTAAGCTAAAGTTGTTCACGTGACTACAGTGTCCCTTTAAGCCACCACAACTTGCCCTTTAGTGAATGGTAGGCAAACAATACTCGGAATTCACTTTAGAAAGGCATTTCAATGCTGTTTCTGGGTCACTAGCTACCAAGTTCCTAGTGTAACCTTCACCCTAGGAAAGACTTGAACCAATGCTTTCCTTTAGGGAATTTAAAGACTCTGGACGAACTCATGCACAGCGTGAGGACGTCCAGCTTTGTTTCACTGAGCTAAATTCAGTAAAACAGCAGGAAGCGCCTCTAGTGGCTGTCTGGTAGACAACAACTAAGGGCAGTCTTAACCCTGCAATGTAAAGATTGATGTTTCTCAGAAATTGCAATGTTTTATATTGCAGCATTAAGTGCAAGAGGGACACTGCACCCAGACCATTTCAATGAGATGAAGTGGTCTAGGTGCCTATAGTATCCCTTTAAAATTATTATTGAAATGTGTTATACACTTTTGAGTAAGCTTTGATTTAAGGTGAAGAATTTCTGGTGTTCTGTCTGTCACATCATCTAAAACAAGAGACTGTTAACAACCCACATCTCAAGCCGTCACTGGCAGTAAATGGGAAACGGCTTGTATCTGTGGGATCAGGCTGGATGCAAATTATAAACTAATCTTTGATTTCATTAAGGAAGTAAATGTTGATCTTGATTTAATATTGTTTAATGAGTTAATATTTTTGGATAAAAGTTTAAAATATTTTTTTTTCAACATATTAATATATCAAAATAATATATATTTTTAGTATCACACTTATTAACCCTTGATCCTTTTTAAATGAACATAGGATTTGAGAAAGTGTGCAGGTAACTTTTGCTTTTGTTCCATGTATTTGGGCTGATCAATACTAGCCATTTCTGCTGCCCATGAGTAGTGGGAGTTTGAGTACAGGGCTTACTTTTGTGTGTTTGTATATATTTTTGTATTACACAGTCATGTTACAGTGCTGCCACACACCCTACGTGTGCCCTACTATGGGCTAATAAGTGTGCAGGGATTCATAAAAATAGCCATCCCTGTCTCATTCGAGATTTTACCTTTTAGCTAAAAGCTCAGCTCAAGGACTCAACTTGACCTGGCAGGTGAGCTTACATTTTAATAACCATTGGAGGACAGGTAACCTTTTTGAGTTTTATTTTAAATCTGCCTATCTTTCCTGGTAATTATTAAATATCAGTTTTGAAGCCGATGTTTTAAAACGTGTAACTTTTTCTTGTGTAAGTGTCAGGCTCCCAGTGCATCTGCAAAAACAAACTGTGCATGATTTTAATTTCTGCTCTGTCGAAACTCCTACCAGAGGAGTTTTCTTAAAACTGTTTCTTTGGGTCAATCCTACCAAACTGAAGTTAAAAAATATTGTGACCGTCAGAAAACCTTTTGATATTTAGTGACCCTCAACTGGGAGCACGTAACACGGTCTCTGACAGCTGCTACTGCAATGAATTCTAAAAAGGTTTACAGCTGTGGGTTTGATGTTGGGAATAAAAATTATTGCATTTATAGCTTTTGAACTATATACTCCTCACCAGTACTTCCCCATCATGGAAAATTCCCATGGCATTATAAAATAATGATTAACAGCCTGTTCTATAGTGAACATTTCTTTATTTTATGATTCATTTTCACGCAAACACAGGCATTTAACTGTACTTGCTCTGGCGCTATAGCCGTGTTGGGCTTTTTTTTTTTTTGACAATTCTTTTATTGAGTTTTACAACAAGAATAATAAGCATGGGTAACATTGCACAGTGGAATGGTTACAATCAGCGACATGGGATATCTCAGCAACATGTTAGGTATCTCCAACAAAGGAAGACTATTTCATTTGAGGGAACATTAACATCAAAGCATAAAAAAACATTTTCTATACCTAAGTCGTTAGCGGTAATAACAACGGTAAAGTAAGGTCCTCTTTGGGGACATAAGGTCAGTGCTTGATAATTTATAGATGAGTGTGGTTTTTTAGTTCGTAGATATCCTCTCTCCACCTCCCCCCGCACTACTAATTATGGGTGTTCCGTCTCTTACATTGATCGTGGTCATGGTGGACATATTCTGTCGCCATCTCTGACTATGTACATGGTGGGTAAGGAGTTGGAAGGTAACGGGTGTTATCAATAGCAGTTAGCTTCTGTTTGGTTTCACTTGGTAGCATATGTAGGGTATTGGTAAGGTAACACTACCTAAAATGCTTGTGGTATATGTCCACACGTATTAGTCATGTCTTGAGTGTTCTGTATCAGTTTATTGGTTTATCAGTGTCTCATATGACGAAGCATCAGTATATTTCCACGTCCTGGCCAACAATGTTGTGACTGAGATGAGTACATGGAAGATTAGTATGGATTTGATTTTTTGAAACTTATCTAAAGACATACACAGTAGTCCCATTTCAGTAGGGTATTATGTTTTTGCAGGTCCACCAAATATGGTACATAGTGCCTTTGTCCGTCAGACACCTCCAGCATTTATCTGAACAGCTTGGAAAAATTTTCGCCAATCTGTTGTTGGGCTTTTCTTAAAAGAAAACTCCATGCACCATAATTTTTAGTGCAGGAGTGCCCTCGCACCCTTCCAGAGTAATCTGCCAAGCCATCATAGAAAGGCTGTGTCCACATAGACTGCTTCTGGATTCTTCTTGCAGGAGAAGCCAGCTAATTCCATTGACTTTCGCATGTCCAGTAGAGGATCACTCTCAGCTCGTGCTCTCAGCCAATGTGTGCGATGAGAATCCAAAAGCAGGCTGTGAGTCCCGGGAATGGCCAGAGAGAACTTTAGTGAATAACCCTGTAAGACTAAAACTACACGGCCAGGGTCTTCGTGGCATAATAACCACTAGAGTGTGCTTGCAGTGCTCCTTTACTCGAGGTGTTCTGATCCTCCATGAAAAAATACCTTGTTCTTTCTTGAGTATAAACCGTTTTACACATTTATTGGTTTGCTCTCAATATATCCTGACCACATGCCAGGTTCTTCATTGGTTTTCATTTTTTTTTTTTTACCTTTATTGGACAACAGTAACTTTCTTTTGGACCATTGACCATTAGTAATTGTCTGCTGTTTTCAGTGTCCTTCTTTTGGAGTTTATAGTAACTGTAGCAGTAAACAGTGGAGTTATAATCCCAAATCTCCTGTTTTATTCAATAAAGTGAGTATTGTATTCATACAAAGTTAGTGAATTGCAAAACTTAACTCCGTTTTCATTTAATTTATTTTGGACTAAAATTTAACATATTAGTGGCAAACCCTGTGGGATTTATTTACTAAACTTAATTGCAGTGAATCGAAATACGAATTGCAAAATTTAGGCAAAAATAACTGATTTGGAAAAACTCAGCCATAGTCATAGCTTGTTTGTTTTTGCCTAAATTTCGATGTTCAATTCACTACATTTCAATGTTTTCTGAATTGTTTTTTGAAATGGATTGAGCTGATCTCACTCCTATGGATATTTCTAACCAACGTATTTGGTTTCATCACTTTTTATTTATTTTTTTCATAAAAATGTCTACTCAAAAAAAACTGTCTACAGATTAGTTATGCTATACCTTATGCGACCTTATACTATAAAGCATTATATATCTATATCAAATGTAGTTTCATTTAAGTAAAAATATCCTAATTTGTTTGGAGAAGGGTGTAAAAAAAAAATGATGATTATTATTTAATTATTTTTAACTAAAGCTAGGCCGATGCATCTCAGAAAACACTCTTGTTGTAGTTTTTAGTGAATTATACATCAGAATCCTTCCGAGTTCGTTCATTGATGTCACTAGTGTGTCTAAACTTGGACAGATCTCAATGCATTTGACATTGACCTTGGCATAAGTGGAGCAAATAAAGACTGCTAAATTAGGCCAGCTTTTTTTTCTTTTTATTGCACTAAACACCTGTTCCATGTGCTGCTCGGGTACTTCTTTTTAAACAGTAACTTTTTGTTGTTTGAGTTTGTTCTTTCTGAACTTGTGTGTGTTTGACCTGCATTGCTCTGACACAAAAACTGTAAATGCTATTTTAATATTGCAGCGTTTGTCAGTGGAATCTAGATTTTAACCGCGAGTCTCCTTTGGGTGTTAAGCGATACAAAGTAGATTGTAGTGTGTTCTTTGTGTTCTATTCAGGATTACACTGGATTTTGCTTTTTGTTTTTTTTTAATGTCAGCAAGGGATGCAGATTTATGTGTCTTGTACTCTCCAAAACTCAAGAAAGCTGAACAATAATAAGTTCTCGAACCAAGTCCTGATGAAACTAAATCCACCATGGAAACATGTAAAACTCTATATGCCCACAGATAGTTTGGTTGTACACCTCTTAAGACATTGTTATCTAATATTAGATATGGGTTGCTTGGAGAAATGAAATAAAGATGAATAGCATATATTGTTTTTCCTTTCCCTTTGGAGACAAGGGATTTTGTATGTTTCTGATTAAGTTTACTAACTGTAAATATATATCATTATTATTATTTACGAAGCTGGAATTTTTCTATTATTATTTTTTGTGATTATTTTCATACAGAGATTAGAAAATATGTCTTAGTCTTTCAATTTCACCACATTCTCTCATAATTATTATTATAAGTTAATATTTATTTGTTGCTTCCACCTTGATTAAGGGCATGTAAATATGAAAAAATATAAATTATTTTTAATTGTTTTGGTAAGCAAACATAAGTCAAGTTGAGGTCTGTCACACGTCCAGCCCCTGCACATCACCGGTATCACATATTCTCCCTCCTTCACCTATATCTTAGTGTAGGGATGTATTCGGATGTATGGCATGAAGACATTTAAAAGGATAAGTGTGACCAATAATGAGAGATACCATGTGGTAATACCTTCTGAACATTCTATATTTTCCGAAAGCTGTTGACATTTCTTTTTTATATATATATATATATATATATATATATTATTTTTTAAATATTTTTCTTTAATACATCAATACAAACATTAACTTTTAGATCGCAATACATGTAATCAAAACAATTAACTTTTTTTCCATACAAAAAAGATGTCTATAAATTTACATGGATTACAGAATTAAAATGCATACAAAAAAGAGCACTCTGACATACATTCACTTGCCCCGAGGAATAATATTTACTTTATTTCTCATTGTCCATATCTATATCTACATTCCCATTTCCTATATTTAACCTACATCTGTTATAACTCATTTTCCCTTGGGGCCCATTCATACCTCAGGGGCATTATGCATTATATTTAATTTTTGTTGACATTTCAGTTGTTTCTATTGAGTGCTAATAGCTGCACCTAATGTATGCACCTTGAATATAGACTACAGTGGTCCTCAAGTTACCCACAATATATATTTTCAAATCATCCAATAAACACAGATAACTGTGTTACTTTTTCACACAACAGCTACTCAATCTATGATCAGTTAGTTGGTACTAGAGGGGCCTTGCTGTCAGTTATAAATATCTTATATATAGTCATTGTTATATTATTCTTATATTTAAATATTAATACATGTATTCATTTTCTCTTTAATTGGGTTTTCCTATATTTTTGGGATTGGGGCTATCACTGTCATAGAAAAGTCAATATAAAAGAAGCCTTTGCTATGATTCGTTGCCATATAATAAGACTTTATAAAGGAAACCGGTACCTCCGGCTCTTGAACCTCATTGTAATACTGCTTAAATGTATCGATGACATCTTACATTTTGTGTTCTAACGCATGTTCTTTTCAAGCTTTTGTGTACATCCAAGTATTGCTCTTCCTGGATCTTCTACTGATATTATAACCAGGAATAGAAGCCCATGGTAAAATATTTCCCGCGTGTTTAAGGCAATAACATAAAATTAGATGCCCTTAGAAGAAAACACAACATAAAGAGGAACTATTTGACACAAATGACAGATCTGATCTGCTTTCTGGATATATACAGGGACATTCTCTGAAATATGTCTAAATGTATGTCTTTGTGCTTTTGCCGTGCAGGACGGAGAATCTTTTGCTGAAGCCAGCTTTGCAATGAACCCTGGCGAGAGGAGGGAATACCTTGACGATCAGGTTACACGCAAGTCTTTCCCCAAGCATCGTCTTATGACCAGTGGACATAGTTCTTTGCAAAGAGATGGGCCTGGTTCATTCCTTTTGGATCTTCCAAATTTTCCTGATCTGTCCAAAGCTGATATAAATGGCCAAAACCCAAACATCCAGGTATTTGCAAATCCTTTTATTTAATTTCTCAGCTTCTTTTTGTTAATAAGTTTTTTTTCTGTACGATTCCTATTTTGCAATTTTTAAAGGGTCATAATAGTTAGACTTACCTCTGCTACGTTACTGGACAAACTGGTCAAAACATTTATAACGTGATTGACACCACTTCTCCTGTTCCCCTGTCACAATGTGTTAGTCTCCCTCAGGTGGAAAGGGACATCTTAAAGGAGAGAAAATTTTGTACAATTCTTGACATTCAGACCTCAATTTAATATTCTTGGATAAGCTTTCCAAATGATTTAATGTGTTTGGATACATTTTTTAAATTATATTTTTAACATATTAAAATATCAAAACATATTATAACATCTGTAATAAAATATATCAAAATATTACAAAATTAAAATATTGATCATCGTATTAAATCATTTTAAAAGTTCAGCCAAAATTATTAAATAATTTGGAAATCTTATCCAACAATATTAAATCGTGCACTTAGTGTGTCAGAGATATTGCAAAATAATACAAATTCTGCCAAGATGCCCAAGTGAAATACAGAGAATGGCAGTATTTATTTCAGGAGTTTGTCCTAAAGATCACTCAAAAAACTTGTCTCTTGCTGTAACATTCTTAGAATGTTAGGTTTATGAATGTTTGTCAGACTTCATTGTTAGAAAGTGTTGATTATTCTTGTCTCAATGTGAAATCTATTAACTTTATGATTTGTAAGTTTACTTGCAATATTTATGACAAACTCACCTAGTTAGGGGAAAACACAAACTAAATCAAGCATTTCTGTCTTTATAAAAATAAAAATTGTAACTTTGAACCACTCAACATTAGAGCCCGTTGTAGTGGTCATGGTGCCTGAAGTTCCTTGGTTTCCTCCCACTGTAAGTAGTCAAACCATATGTGAACAGTTTGACAGCTTACTTGGGGTCTGCAGGAGAAGATGATTGGTTGCCAGTGGACCCCCAGGTAAGTTGTCACAATATTCACAAATGGTTTGACTACCTACCTTATGTAGGTGCAAAGGTACTCCTTGCATCATAGACACTACCGCGGGCTATAGTGTTCCTTTAATTAAAATCTATTTATTTTAGTTATCATTTTTTATTTAATTATATTTGATTTGTGTTTTAACTTGTCTTGGAATGCTTTTTGTAGCCTGTTTGTTAGAGATTTCTGTACAGTCTTGAATTCTAGATATTTTTGCTTGTTAGTAATTTTGAAAAATCTGGTAATTGTTTTCCTCATTACTTTTATAACTCTGTGACATCAGTTCATTTGTATCAAAACTTTTATTTGTATCTACCTTGCATACAGCTGTATGCTCATCACTGCACATGCTTAATATGTCACTGGTAACATGAATGTCATGCAGTGTGTTCTCTGCTCGCGTGAAATACACCTGCCAATGGTTTCATTTCAATGGACGCCAGTTTGGCGTAGTACAGCACATGCAGAGCTGCCTTTAGCCATTCCTTGTTTTGGTGTTATCATAGGGTTATCATAGATGAATCACGAGCTGCAAAAAAGATACTAGATTTACATATTAAAATTTTTAAATATTATTCATGCGGAGTTAGATCAGCGGTTCCCAAACTGTGTGCCACTGCGCCTCATGGGTGATTATAGCACTGGGGAAACATTACTGCTGAACAGAGGCCCAGTCGGGTACTGCAATCCTTTAAGACCGCTTTAAGACTTCCTCCCAGCGCCATGCAGGGAGACAGCATGGGAGGGAGAGGAGGCAGCAGGCGGGGAGAGGAACACGAAGAGCTCCAGACCCCTCACTCCCACCAACAGCACTCCAAGCCACCCTCCTGGACACATAAGGTAAGCTAACAGGAGGGTGGCTGGAGATATTAAAAATATCACTTGTGTGTGTATATGTATATATGAGTGTGTGTGTGTGTGTGCATGAATGAATGAGTGTGTGTATGTATGAGTGAGTGAGTGAGTGTGTGTGTGTGTGTGTGTGCGTATGTATGAGTGTGTGTGTGCATATGTGTGTGTGTCAGGGTGTGTGTATGAGTGTGTGTGTCAGGGTGTGCATCTGTGTGTGTGTCTGGTTGTGCTTCTGTATGTGTGTATATATGTCAGTGTGCTTCTGTGTCAGCGCCTGTTTGTGTGTGCGCATACATCTGTGTGTCAGCATATGCGTATGTGCATCTGTGTGTCATTGTGTGATTTTATGTCAATGTGTGTATCTGTATCATGGTGAGTGCATGTATCAATGTTTGTGTGTGTCAGGGTGCGTGTGTGTATGTCTCGGTGTGTATCTATGTGTGTGTATGTGTCGGTGTGTGTATGTGTCGGTACCTATATAAATTTGTGTGTATGTATATCTGTGTAAGTATGTATGTATGTATGTGGTAGTGTATGTACATACACCTAAGCAGTCGTACACCAGCACAACATACAAACACACCCCTGCATTCAAACACAAATACTTCACACAAATGTACACCCGCATTTAAAAGTGAACATAACATTCAAACGCAAACATTACATACAAACACACCCCTGTTTTAAAACACTAAAAATATATACGAGCACCCCTTCAAACACCAACACTGTACATTACACTATAGCGCCAGTAAATCCTGCAGCGCTGCATCGATATACAACCTAGGAATTTTGACTTGGGGTGCCATGGAAAAATACTGAAATATTAAGGGCGCCTTGAACCTAAAAAGTTTGGGAACCACTGGATTAGATCATTGTTGAAAGGATATATTTCTCTTTACTTTAGTATTAAGGTTTTTTTAAACAAAAATGTTGCATCCATCTTGGTCTGCCTGTTGGTCATTGTAGCACCTGGCAGTCAGAATAGAGAGAGCGTACATAGAAGAGGAGAAATGAAACAATGTGTCTTTTCTCCTCTCATTTGTAACATGTGCCCTGAGTTGGATTGTGGTGTCTGTAATTTCCTAATTCTTCAATATACATTTTTAATTAAATAAAGCATGGCATGTAATCAGTTCAAACACTTGTGTCATGGCTGATGTTTTTGTATTATTTAGTGGTGTACTTTCTAGAGAACCGGTGATTTCCTTTTAATATACATACAAAGGAATGGGTAATAAGTTAACCTTTTAAAGCATACAATAACACAAATTATTATAAAACCTAGATCATTCATTACATTTTCACCTTCAGGACGATATTCTAATAAAAACAGTTGTTTCGGACAAATCGAATCATCCGACAAAAAGTTTTTGTTCTGGTAGTCCATATGGCATTGTGGTATTGATGAATTTCATCCATGCAAACGATTCGAAAAACAATATAAATATTATGTTTTCATTTTGTAGTGCTCTTTTCCCGACACTAGATTCACAGATCAAGTGAGGAAATTTCTCCTTTTTTTCATCAACTGGACACTTGATCTATGAATAAAATGGAAATTTAGTGGAAATTCATCTTTTTGTAAGTCATTTCTTTTTTTTTTTGACAAAACCCTGAATCAAGCATCAAATGAAACAGTTTATCCAATGTAATTTTCAGTTATTTCATGATACATAAATATGGCAATTCGGGAGATGCACTTATCGGACAACCTGCTGATTGCTCAAAATGTGGACAAATCTCAGTTCGTTTGAAACCGAATGCACAATCAATGCAAATACTAGCAATGTGTAGCTATGAGATGCTACTCTTTGTAAAGTAATGCCAAATCATGTTTGATAGGTGCAGCTTATTCAAAGTGTATCTTGTAAAAATCCTGGTCAGAAAACGGATTTGCATTCAACTAGAAAGTGAAGGTATGTGTTATGTATACTAAATCACAAAATGTAGTGTATACAGAGCGTTCACATAGATGGAAAGGTGATTACATAGATCCACTAAACTGAAAGCAGCATCTTCTCTTGTGGGGTGTCTTTTCCATGAACCCCTTGCAACCCTACCTACCCTGAGGACATTTCTCTCTGTGATGGTGCTTGGAGGAAGAGAGTAATTCATATTATTCTGCACTATTGAATTCTGGTTGAGTTTTCAGCCCCTGGCAGTTGGACCTACAGAAACAAGTCAACTCTTCCACGTTTGTAAAAGTACAAAATGGGGGATGTATGGAACCATTCCATTTGTTGTGCTCGCCATAGGTACACACCCCAAGAAGACGCCTGTTAACATCAGCTGCCCAAATGACAAAAAATTTGTAATGCCAAACCATGGTGGCAGAAGCTGTGTGGAGCTTTATGACACATTTTTCCAAAGATTTGGTTGGTCATAAGGGACAGTAACCTCTATTGGATCATATGACATATTTTGATCATGTCGCAATTCCAGTGAAATTCTGATGCATTCCGAAGGAGATTATCATAAAAATTCTATCATTACATAAAAAAAAAAAACCTCAAAAGTGATAGCACTGCTTAAATTCTGAATTCCTGCAAATCCACTGAAACAAAGGCAGTGCTTTAGAAAAATGCTGGACATATGCTCACTCTACCTAATTGGAATTCCAGATCCCGAGGCTGGATTAAAATCTGCCGTTTAAATCTGTTTCGTATTGAATTCCCCGCTGCTCAGCAAACCAGGGAGGGAGTTGAAAGGATTGCTGAACTGCTTATGTAAGCCCCGTACTTTCATCATTACCATTGACATATATCCAAATAAGTAGTTCTTATAACACACAGCTCTTCCCTGGCAGTTTATCTAGAATTGCTCAATGTCTGCAGACGTCATTCCCATGACAGATGAAGTGCAAATGTGTCCTACACTGCTTAAATTGTCCATTAGCTTTGATACAAATGTTGCACGCCACAAAAGAGATGGACCTGCACTGATATATTACTTTTTTTATGGAAATTAAAGTGAACCCCGTCATATGAATTCTTAGTACTGTATTAATAAAGGAAAATTCTGACTTATTATTAATAAATCTATGGTAGTTGTTCTTATGTAGCACTCTGCCTTAGAAAAGCATCTGTTGTTGCCTTGATAGTCCCTCATCATCTTAGCTTTTAAAAATAAATAAAGATTCATGGATTTTCCACTCACGCCAGTACTAGCTGATCGAAGTCTTAGTGGCCCTTTTTTATTTGTTGCCTAGCACTGAAACCATTAAAGGGACACTATTGTCACCAGAACTCTTTTAGCTTAATGAAGCAGTGATGAATAGATCATGTCCCTGCAGTTTCACTGCTCAATTCTCTGTGATTTAGGAGTTAAACTGTTCATGCAGTCCTGCTCCCACCTCCCTGCATGTGACTTACACAGCCTTCCTAAACACTTCCTGTAAAGAGTCATCTAATTATTGCAATTTCTTATTTCAAGCTCTGTTAATAGCTTGCTAGACCCTGCAGGAGCCTCCTGTATGTAATTATAGTTCAATTTACAGTGCAGGCGGTGTCAGTCACAACCGGGAAAGGGGGGGAGGGGAGGGGTTTGCTAGGGCTGCATAAACAGAAACAAAAGTGTTTTAACTCCTAAATGGGAGTGAATTGTGCAGTGAAACTTCAGAGGCCTGATCAAGACACAGAAACTGCTTCATTTATATTTAAGTTGTTTTGGTGACTATAGTGTCAATTTAAGAAAGTAACCCCGAGTGCGTGGTTTCTTTCTTAAGGAAAACACTTCTCAGAGGCCAGAAATTTAGCCCAGGACTGCCACGTGAGACCTAAATAAAGACTACGAATGACAAGCAATCAGAGTTAGAACTTACAAAGTTACAAGGAACCTACAGTCATGAAAATAATAACTTTACTTACCTTTTTTCCAGTGCTCGGACTCCCTTGCTGCAGCCTCCGCTCCGCCTCCAGCATCCAAACTGACATAACCCAGTCTATTGCTTCTTATTGAGCAAACGCCGCACTCCTCCAATGAATGCTTCTCTAAGCATCCTTGGATGCCAAGACCAAATTTCACTGGGTAATGGAGGAAGAAGCGCCTTGGGGTAAATTTAACCCTGCAAAGTAAACTTTTAAATACCGACAAACTGCAATGCTTTCCGTTGAAGGGTTAAAATGACAGGAACACTCACAGGGTTATTACAATTTATATATCTCCAATATGTAATATTTTTACATACAGAACCTGCAGTGAGTTCAATACATGGATTCCACATTAGTAAATGGGATTTAGTCAGCAAAGTCATGGGGGACTCGGGGGGGAAATAACCTGGTAACAGGGAATCGTGGGATTTGGTATACAAAGACAATTACTCTCTTACAGCTTATACTTAAAACTATTTAAAGTAATTTGGGAATTGACCTCCCCGATTCAGTAGATTGTCTCCAGCTTGCGTGCTAGTGAAAATTGTACCTGGCGGGTCAGACACGATGCAGCAGCTGACGAGTGTTTGATGAATTATCATGTTAATCTTTTTATTCAGTCACAGGTCAAGGATATTCCTCCATGTATCCTTATCTGCATTAAACCAAACTGCGCAGATTGAAACTAAGCAGGCGTTGACGTAAGCAGATAATCATTTTGTGTTAGGGTACCAGACATCACAGCGTTTAAGTCTCCTCCAGAAGTGTAGCAGACTGTTCTGGCAGTAGAAGGGTTAGAATGACAGCAAATATTAGTGCATTGTCTTAAGAGCAGAGGAAAGCCAGCCTAATGCTATGGTTGTGCTTACTGTGTAACTGTACATTACTGTCTCTTTTGGAAATGTCATCGTTTTCATAAGGCTGCACAGGTCGCCCAGGGCCGAGCAGATAATTTTTACACTAAAGATGAGTAAATTAATTTGGCAGAGTTCCTTGTTGTATAGCCGTAAAGCTTTTCAGACCTCGCTTATCTATGTAGATTTTCTGTATGTTGGCTCAGGGATTTAGTCATTAAACATTAAATTATAAACAGTGTAAGCATTGCATGGAAAACCGAATGTAAAATTGCACGTAGGTGAAAAGTGTTAATGTAGAAAAAATCTCTGGCTTGAGTTAAAGCCACCACTCGGCTATAATAGGCACAATGTTGTAATTTGTTATTTTAAATTTACTAAAATGTTTTATTTTTCACTGTAAAAACTAAAGACATGTATGAAGATGTGAAATGTGTGTTGCTTGTTTGATCAGATAATAAGTTAATAAATTATGTGCAGCCCTCCACCACACACATCATGGAGTCCTGCACAAACAACTGCAGCCTACACGCATTCTAAAAAAAGAATTAAAAGGATAAAATAGCAAAACAATTACAGGTTTATTCCCTAAAATGAGAATTCAAAGGGAATTTCAAATTGAAGGCCAGTGTAGCTAAACTGAAAGTGTATCTGACTCAGATTTGATTGATTATAGTGTTAACCCAGTCAATAGACATACTGAGACAAAATAAGGACTAGTTTGTCTCTAGACAAATTCCTACCCCTGACACTTCTAGTCACAGGGCAGAGCGTCCGCCATCTAGAAGTGTCAATCATCCCCAGCCATCAGCGGTAATGGCTGCAGGGAATTGGTTCTGTCTATGGAGGATGCCAGGTTCAGGTAAGTAAATCTCACCTTTCCCGGCCACCAGACCACCAGCAGCGATGTCACGTCGGAGGTCTTTGCAAATTCTGCATACTAAGAATAAGACTGGCAATCTATGTTTCAGTGAAACTGGGAAAGCACTGTGTGTACAGGGATATAATTCTAGAATATCCTTGTGTAAAGGGTATAGGGCAGGGGTAGGCAACCTTTGCCACTCCAGATGTTGTGGACTACATCCCCCATAATGCTCTTAGACCCATAATGCTGGCAAAGCATCATGGGAGGTGTAGTCCAAAACATCTGCAGTGCTGAAGGTTGCCTATGCCTGGTATAGGGTTAGCCTTGTGTAAAATTGATTAATGTTTTGTGCTTGATTAACATTTTCAGGGAGAGACGTGTCCTTTTGGGGCTGAAGATAAATGAGGTAAAAATCAATCTGCTGTAGTCATGAAGTCAGCCACATATTGGCAAGAGTGTGTGTATTCAGTCCTACATTATACATATATATAAATATTGGGTCATTTTCTTACATGAAGTGATCTGGTTGTCACATTTCCCTTGTTTGAACCCTGCAATGAAAACCACTGCCTTCCACTGAAAGGGCCTCTGGTTGCTCTCACTCTGACAGCCACTAAAAGGCGCTTCCGCTAAGATAGTGGAGTAAAACCTAGTTTTGCTGTGCATGAACACTCGCCTCCTAATGCTTTCCTATGGGAAATGATTAGATTGGCTGAGATCATCGATCTCCATGATCTCAGCCACGAAGGCAGGACAGCAGCACGGAGAACATTCCTGCAAAGAAAGCAGGGGTAAGTAGTACTGCTCTTCCACTCCTTACAGCGGAGGGCAGGCTACCTAAACTGCTAACAGGCACTATAGTGTTCCTTTAAGTTTGGCACGGGTCTTATATGCAATCAAATATTCCATCCTGGATAAACTAGGAAAGTGACCAACAACAGCTGGTCTACCCCAGCAAGCTTAGCTAAACCATAACAGATAATGACCTGTTGGTTGTTTTTACATGTAAATAGGTTAAGGGGTCATGTGTGAAAGTGCAAGAATTAAATATCTGGCATTTGGTTATAATGTATTTCAGTGTGCTGGTTAAGCTACATATTTCTAAGTAGGCACTCCCTAACCAAACGGCACACTGTCTGTGGTGTGTTGGGTACCTTACCTTGGGTCTCATGTGGATCTACATCATACATTATAAATTAACTAATATAATACGCATATGGTTATACTTATAAATTAGCTAGTACAGCGTACTTGAATGTTAAAAGGTTGTCCCACAGGCACTGAATGCGTATTAAAATGTTTTTTTTATATACAGAACAAAACGAATTCCATTCATCCACAGACCCCAAAATTATTTGCTATGTTTCTGCCTGAACAAAAGATTGCAGCGAACTGTGAGATAGGTACCGGGTTCTCAGATCCGATTATTTGTGTGCGGCATACATGCATAGCTTTGTGTGTGTGTGTGTGTATACTATATGTTTTTAATATGATGGTGCTTAACTGTTAAATCTGTTTGAGCAGAAAAGTGGTTTTACTGAGAACCAAGATGTTTAGAACTCGGCATTTAAAGGTCCCTTTCTAAATACAGATGTTAGCAATTTAAATGTCTTGTTCTGAGTGCTATTTCCTACCTTTTTAAGTAATGCAAACTGTTATTTCAGTAATGCCTGTAATTTCTCTAATCAGGTCAGTTTATCGTGAATGGGGAATAGAGTGGTTTACTTATTAAAGTCATTGTGCTGTTCACATGTGCTCAGATCAGTCAGATATATATATATTAAAAAAAAATTGTGATAGTTAAAATGGTTGCAGGAATTGAATTACACACACCCTGACAAAAGTATGTTTTCCTTTATATTTCAGGAGAGATTCCATTATTATTCTTTTGTGAAACTTTGCAATGCCCTCAGAGAATTATTATAGTTTAAGTTAAATTGAAGGACAGTACGTATGTGCCGGTCAAAAAAAATCTTTCTCTTACGGGAAAAGAATTAGTAAGGCTTGTCTGCAAATGGCTGACTTTGAACCGTCTGACCTCCATGAGTGTAATAACTGACTTGGAAAACTTTCAAATTGGCTAATCATGAATAGTGAATCAATTGCGAAAGTCATATCCAGTTGGATACAATTATAAAGTTAGCCAACGTCTTATACATAGTAGCCAACTTTCTATAGGTACAGTGCAAACATACAGTATTTCCCCATGGTTCATTCTTAATCTATTCTATCATGTCACAAGTTTAAAAAGAACATAACGAAATTGAATTCTGTGTGATAATAAATAAAATAGCACATTGTTATTCCAATTAGAAAGGTAGTTCCCCAAAACATCACTCATAAAAAGAATCGTACTAACGTTTTAGAATTTAAAATTCACTCTTAACGCATTATTTAGGTTATTTGAGTGAATAATCCTCCTGATATCCCCTGCAAAATATAATCCTTAGGTACATTAAGAAAACAAAACACGTAATTTTCACTAAACTGAATGCTACCAAAGTAAAATCCAAATGGCAAAATTTAGGTTAAAACATTACTATAGCTGAGCCAATTTTTCCATTTTAATTTTAGTTTGCTGCCATTTATTAGTTATCAAATAAACCCCTTTGTGTATTTATGTATATATATATGTGTATATATATATATATATATATATATATATATATATATATGTATATATTTCTTAGCATATATACGGCAATGCCAATGACATAACAACACATGGTCTCTGTGTAAGACATTGGCACTGTGTGGTTCGACAGTGAATAACGCGAACATGGTAGTAAATATTTCACAGTCTAGGTCTTTGCCTTTGTGTCTGACTTAAGGCTGATTAAAAGTCCATTCTTCCGCAGTATTCTTGGCTGAGTTCACTAGATCATTCATTGACGGGAAATGTTGCTTGCCCCACCTGTGCTGAGCAATTGACACCTTTTCAAAAACGTCTGCCCTATTAAGTAGCATTTGACAATCGTAGCTGCAAATTACTGCTGTAGACTGTTTAAGCAAACCTGAAAATGCACGGTTATAGACCATCTGTTACTTTTATAGTAAGGCACAAAGTCATTCTGGCAACCGCAATATTAAACATCTGTGCGGCATTGTCAGCCCATTGCCTGTCTTTACTCTCCGTATAATGAGACTGTATCTTTAACGTTTTAAAGTTTGGCATTAAACTTGGTACATTGTGCAGGACTTGTTATTCTTCTTTGCTCAACATGTCCGAAAACAACATTTATGATAAACCAGCACGAACATGACATGTCAGGTTTTATTTTCTGTCTTTTATTTTGTTTTTGGTTTTTTTGCGAGGCTCTAAATTTCCACCCAATAGGTGTATATATATCTATAGTTATAAGAGTCTTAGAATTTTCACTGTGATTTTCACAGTGAGAAGCACGCAAACGCCTCTGGCGGCTGTCAATGAGACAGCCACTAGAGGCTTTAGAGGCTGGATTAACCTATTTCTCTAAAACTGCTATGTTTATAAAAAAAATGGGTTAACCCTAGCTGGACCTGGCACCCAGACCACTTCATTAAGCTGAAGTGGTCTGGGTGCCTAGAGTGGTCCTTTAAGTGCACCCACACTTATTATATATCATTTTGTTCAGGAGAAACAGGGCTTTAATTTATAATTAACTATTCATATATGGAACATAATTTATTATGAATAAAATAAAAAAAAGTGAGAAAATAAGATTTCTTTTTCAAATTTGTATTTCCGTCTGACATTTTAGCTGTTAATGTCATAATACTGTTAGGTTTTACTGCAAAAAAATGCACATATTTGTAATCAGCGATGTCTCACGAGTACAACAGTACCCCTCATTAACAGGTTTTATGGTGTTTTGGAAAGTTACAGGGTCAAATAGAGAACGTTCTATTTTCAAATTGAAATTTGCCAGATTAGTAATGTTACCTTTGAGACGGTGTGGTAGCCCAGGAATGAGAATTACCCCCATAATGGCATACCATTTGAAAAAGTAGACAACCCAAGGTATTGAAAGTGGGGTATGTAGTCTTTTTTAGTAGCCACTTAGTCACAAACACTTGCCAAAGTTAGCGTTCATATTTGTTTTTGTGTGGAAAAAGAAAAAAACTAATATTTGGAAAGTGTTTGTGACTACGTGGTTACTAAGACTGGACATACCCCACTTGCAATACCTTGGGTTGTCTACTTTTGCAAATGGTATGCCATCATGGGGGTAATTCTCATTCCTGGGCTACCATACGCTCTCGAAGGCAACATAGCCAATCTGGCAAATTTCAATGTCAAAAAAATGAAATGCAAGCCTTATATGCGACTCTCTAACTTTCCAAAACACCATAAAACCTGTACATGGGGGGGTACTGTTATTCTCGGGAGACTTCACTAAACACAAATATTAGTGTTTTAAAACAGTAAAACATATTACAACAATAATATAGTCCATAAAAGTGCCGTCCGTTTGTAAAGAATGCAAAAAACGTAATTTTTACTTAACATATCATCGTTGTAATACAAGTTATTATTTTGAAACACTAATATTTGAGTTCAGCGAAGCCCCCCGAGTAAAACAGTACCCCCTATGTACAGGTTTTATGGTGTCATGGAGAGTTACAGGGTCAAATATAGTGCTTGCCAATTAAATTCTCTGCACTTTCTCCCTGTGTTGTCAGGCATGTCAATCAAATTTTAATTAATCAAATCACATAATTATGTTAAAAGATTACTTAAATATACACGTAGAATTTTAATATATATGCATTTATAGGTATTTAAATTCTACGTGTATACTAATGTAATCTTTTATGTAATTATATGTATTTATCTATATATATATATATTTGCGGTTATTTGTATTTTGTATATAGATAGATATATATAGAATGTGATTCTAAGTGTATTTTGTTACCAATATATATATATTAATAACAAAATACAGTTAGAATGAAATTACATATGTATATATAATTTATACTAAATTTTGTTTCAATATTTTATTTATTTATTTTATTATTTTATTTATTTATTATTGTAATTATACGTATATATATATATATATATATATAATATGTGTATATATCTATTATATATATAATATATATACATATTATATATATGTAACGTCATTCTAAGTGTATTTTAATACTAATATATGTACTTATATTAATATTAAAATACATTACGTATGACGTTACATATATATAATATGTATATATAAAATATATATACATATATTATATATATATAAAAATACTTTTAATTTATTTTATAACATGTTTAATTAATTTTTACTTTCCCACCAGCAGGGGGACTGTCTGACTTTTCAGACAGTCCCCCTGCTGGCAGATCCATAGCCAGCTATAGGGGGCCATGTGATCGCTCTTTGAGAGCGATCACATGGCCCCCGGGGGCCTCACTTTCCGGAGGAGGGCTGTCTGGGCTGTCAGGCAGCCCTCCAGAAGAGGATCGTGGCAGAGGTAAGTACCTCCAATCGCCAGGGGCAGAAAGCTTTAAAGCCGGGACGGCAAAGAACACCGTAACGGCGTTAAGGGGTTAAGCATTTATTCCACATACTGTAGTAATGTGGCAGTTTTTTGTTCAAAGATGTCGCCCCTTTTCTTGGACATTGTAAACTTTGAAGTTTTTGAGAAACATTACTGTTAAAGGGACACTGTAGTCACAAAAACAACTTTAGCTGAATTAAACAGTTTTGGTGTATAAATTGTGCCTCTGCAGTCTCACTGCTTAAATCTCTACCATTTAGGAGTTAAATCACTTTTTACAGCTCTAGCCACACCTTCCTGCATGTGACTTGCATAGCCTTCCTAAACACTTCCTGTAAAGAGTCATCTAATGTTTACACTTCCTTTGTTGCAGACTCTATTTAATTCAGATTTTTTTTTTCATCTCCTGCTCTGTTAATATCTTGCTAGATCCTGGACGGGCCTCATGTATGGTATTAAAGTTTAATTTACAGAGCAGGAGATAAAAACTCAAAGAAAGTTACATCTGATTAAAAATGAAAAAAAAATTTCCCATGCAGGCTGTGTCAGTCACAGCCAGGGGAGCTGTGGCTATGGCTGCATAAACAGAAACAAAAGTGATTTAACTGCTAAATGGCAGATAATTGAGCAGTGAAACTTCAGAGGCATGATTTATACACAAAAACTATTTCATTAAAGGGACACTATAGTCACCAAGTACAGCTTATTGAATTTGTTCTGGTGAGTAGAATCATTACCTTCGGGCTTTTTTTCTGTAACCACTGTCTTTTCAGAGAAAATGCAGTGTTTACATTACAGCCTAATGATAACTTCACTGGCCACTCCTCAGATGTTGTTAGAGATCCTTCCTGGGTCATGGCTGCCTAAAATGCATCCAAACATTCAGTATCTCCTCCCTCTGCATGCAGACACTGAACTTTCCTCATAGAGATTAATTGATTCAATTCATCTCCGTAAGGAGATGCTGATTGGCCAGGGCTGTGTTTTTGAATCATGCTGGCTCTGCCCCTGATCTGCCTCTTTGTCAGTCTCAGCCAATCCCGTGGGCCAATCATCAGGCCACCACTTCTGATGATGTCAGCAGACTGCATGTTTTTTTGAGGCAAACAGCATGCAGATCTACAGCTTCAGACTTGAGTACAGTAAGATTTTGCTATATTTATGGAGGCATGAGGGACCCAGAGGGGCTAGATGGTGGTTTTAACACTATAGGGTCAGGAATACATGTTGGTGTTCCCGACCCTATAGTGATCCTTTAAGCTAAAGTTTTTTGGTGACTATAATGTCCTTTTAACAGTTTGCCAAAACCACATCGCTGTTGAATGTCAAACTTTAAAATCTTTGATCTTTAAACATTTTCACATTCAGCGTCCTCAAAATCAGCAAGAGGAGTCTGAACAAGGCTATTTCTTCTTGCAGAAGAATGATTAGAATCAATATTTGAAGAGAAGAGTAGAAATATGTTTTTAATAGTGGACACACTGTCCATTTAAAGGAATGAAAATTTCAGTTGCAGATTTATACAGGACACGGGGGATGCTTTTCTGTTCTGTGTATCTGAATTTTAAAGTTGTGGTTACTAGCAGGAGTATTAGAGTATGTGTTTTAATGTATCTGAATCATGTCTTTTGTTATTAAAGTTCATTTTTATTATTAAAGTTCAATTTACATGTCTTCTCTGAGAATGCTGGGAAATTCACTAAAATGTGAACTGTCATCAGTTTCAAATTATGGGCCAAAAAAAAGCCAAATTGAAAACTTAGATGGTGTGGCGAATTTCAGTGTTTGACTGTTGTGGCCTAAAATTCAAAATCAATTTTCAGGGTTATTCAATAAAATGTGCATAGTTAGGAATTCAAGGACAATTTAACATTTTAAGTCACAGCCAAACCAAAAACTATTTTGCCTAAAATGTGTGTTGAGTTTGCAAGAAAGATCCGATTTTGTACAAAACCACAAAACTAACCTTTTCATGTTTGCGGAATCTTTTGAATATAATTTTATTTTTATTGATTCATTTTCAGTGTTTTAGTTTTCTGCATTCGGACAGTGATCTCGGTGTACTTTACAGTACCATACATTGTGTTTGTTTGTTTGTTTGTTTACTCTGCAAATGCTAGGCCACAAAACTGTAGGGTCCATTTTTAAGAGCAGGTATATTACACCACAAATGAGCTTTCCTTTTCTTCCTTCCCTGCTCTGCAATTTCTCAGGTTACAATTGAGGTTGTTGACGGCCCTGACACAGAGCCGGAAAATGACATGCAAAAGGAGAATAAGCCCAGCTGGCCGGTTCCATCACCTGACTGGAGAAACTGGTGGCAGAGGGCATCAACTCTACCAAGGATAAATTATGGAGACCAAGATAACAAATATGACAGCACGACTGAGGACAGCAACTTCCTAAACCGTCTTGGCGGATGGAATAGACAAGGGCCCAGTCACAGGACGTATGATGTAAAAGAACAAGCTGAGTACGGTATGTTCATGTTGCCCTGATCATTATATGGATCTTTATTTATTTTATAGACTTAGACAAAAACGAATCATGAACTACGCGGCTCCTTGAAGGGCAAATACATGTACAATTTTATGGCAAAGAGGTGATACGGATGAACTATCAACATGGAGACAAATAAAATATTTAATCATATTTGGCACTTTGATCAGAAGTTGTCTTGGTCCTTTGTGTCTCTGCTATTAGTTGGATAGTTTAATCAAGAACGATGTATCAAAAATGATTTGCAGGCATTCAAAAGAATGATTTATTATTTTATTTAGCAAAGCAGTTCATGTTGGAAGTGATATGTATTTTGTGAAGGTGCACCTCCTGGATTTTGTTTTCTTTTGCTTTTATTATTTTCTTTATATATTTGTGAGTGCACTGTCCTTGTTTGGATTCTGGTTTAGAATATTGTGAAAGAATGTGAGCATCAAACAGATATGTAGTAAGAAATAATATGTCATTGCAATATGATTCCGTATTGCAGTTAGACCCATGGTGTAAAAGTTAACCTGAGCACAAATCGGTCACAAACTATGTTCTCCCAACTCATTTCCTGTAAACGTAGAGGATAGTGTAGACCAGTGGTTCCCAAACCAATTGTCACACCCCCTACCAGTCCAGGATTTATGGATTACTCAGTTGTGTCTAATTTGTTTTTTTATTAAAAACAGTTTAGACAAACTTGGGCAATCCCTAAATCCTGGGTTGGGGAGAGGATTGAGGTGCTTAAAGTCTGGTAAAAGAAATGTGTTCTTTTAATAAAACCCACATGGTGTACACAGCCATGCAAGACTTACCCACGGCCTATAGCTCCACTCGAGGCCAGGGAGGCAGCCAACCCTCTGCCTACTGTTGGAGCTTGTTGTATCTGAGTCCTGTTCCTCCCTCCACTGGACCAGTGGGGGTTATCTCGGTCCCCACTGGGGGTTTTTGCATGGCCACCTGGCCAAGACCCAAGTCTTTCTGGCAAGTTGGAGAGCTGAGGCTAAGCATCCAACTTGGCTTCCCCGTTGGGGCCTACAGTCAGAGACACCTCCCTGCAGTCGTCCTGGAGCCATTGCTTGTGACATTTGACCACATTTGTGCATTATTTTGGGCGAAGCTCAACGAAAGGCAGCTTACCTCTTTTCCTGTTGTTCAACGCATGGCACCTAGGAGCCGTCCACCACCGAAAGTGCACGGCTACCTCACTTGTTCCCAGAGAGGCGCAGCACGAGAGAGGCCGCAAGAACCCACTGCAACGTATTCGCCGCCATCTGCCCCAGTTGCAGAGAAGGAGGCACCTTTGCTCATGACGCGTCCATGCTGCTCCAGAGGCCTATCTATCATGCAGCTGGGAGCGCAGAACTGCGAGTCTGCGGAAGCAAACTCCAACCGACACACAGATGGTCTGCCTGGGATGCCCTGGATTGGACTCTCTGGGGGCTTGGGCTTCAGGGGAAAGAGTGATTGGAGTGGCTGAGGGTGATGGGAGCTGGGTCTCTTTAACCAGGGGCATAGGTTAGGTGGCACATTGATCTTACCTACTGCTGGGCTGTTATGCAGCTGTTCTCCTAATGCACTTTGCTTGCTGTTTTACCCCACCACAGTGCTCTGTCTGCTTGGCTGCCATAGTATTACCAACCCCCTGGTGGTATTTACCTCTTGCAGTAAACCCCTTGCCCTACAGTTTTCTCTGCCATACCTACACTCATTTTATCACAAATTATTAGAGCTATGTTTTTGCTGTTTCTTTACCTATTACTGTTATAAAGTGCAGTGCTCATCTTGTTTATATTTAGTTTATCTCATATATGTCTGGACGGCTTTATTAACCTACAGGCTAACTTCATGATCTCTCTACAAACATGTGTCTAGCAAGACCACCCACACTTTATTTAGTCACCCATCATTTGCACAATCTCCTTTTTCTTTCTCAAGGAACATAGGAAGCACAGAAACGGCCAGGCCTAGTGGAACCTCATAGGTGTGGCTAAATTAACTATTAAAGTAAAATATTACACCAAACCTTTGCATTTCTTTAGCCTAAATTCACCTTGCCCTAGGCTAGAAAATAATGAGAAAAACGCACAGCCACTGTACTTTATACATCCAGCCTCCAATAGCTGTGTGCCAAATCTGATGACATCATAGCGTTGGAAATACAAACTTGTATTTCTAACGCTATAGAGCCTCTGTTCCTAGTTCTATTAAGGTCTCCTCCCACTCGCTTGCTATAAAAATTAAGAAAATAAAAGATTTACTAACCATTTTCCAGTATAGTGGTTCCCTCAGTGCTGCTTAATTCTCGATTTCTCAATAGCAGACCATTGGGAACCTAATGTATATATTTGGCAAGTCCTCATCCATTCAAGCTTCCCCATAGGAAAGCATATTTTTAAATGTAGAAAAAAGGAAGAAAAAACCCCAAAAAGGGATGTCTTATATAAAGACCGCCCAGAGGGTAAATACCCAGTCCAATCTCAACAGTAGTGTAGTTGCCAAAAAATAAAAAATCCTTTATTGAAATCTATTAAAAAACCTGGGTAATCAGTGATGGACAGAATAATATAGGGAGAAATATGTATGGTAGGAACAAGGCTAATCAAGAGCCAACCCTCACAAGAAGCGGAGAGGGGATAGAAGGCAATATGTACCCCCATACATAACTCAGGTAACAAAGCAGTAGGAAAGAACAGGGAAAGGGAGAAACACACACTCCCAACCAAACAGTAGTGCTATGCTAATACCCTATCTCCTATAAAACACCTTCGTGGGTGTTCTAATCTAAATGCTGTCATAACATCTGAAGCCCCAGGTAACACACACATACTAGAAAAACATAAATGAAAAGGTGCTCAGAGCAAAGTGCTCAAGAGAGTATTAAAAACACAGAAGAACCCGACGTACGTTTCGGCGTGACCACACGCCGTCCTCAGGGGTATCAGCAGTGAGCAAAAAACTGTCCGGGTGGTAAATTTATACCTTAAGCTCATAAGCTTTATTGTAATCACCTGTGATTGTGTCTAAATTGCTCCGGTCCTCCTGCGAATGGGGCTGTGGGGGTGTGGTGTAACACACCATAGTGTCAGCCCACATTTCTATGTCAGAGGTAGCCAGAACAGAAATCAGGTGAAAGGGAATTAACCCTTTGAGTGCCCCGCCCGGAACAGATATAAATGGATACTTACTATATCTACAAGGCAGTATCCATAGCATAACAATTAACCCTTGGAATGTCCAAATTGTATCATATAGGTCAAGTGTGTGGATTGATTCTTATGGCTGTATTGTGTAGCTTTAGTACAATTAAAGAAACAACTTATAACCGTTGTGAACCAGTAAGGGATAAGTACAATGGCTATATGGGCAGTCATACACAGAAGCCGACAATTCTTTTATTGCCACTGTAAATAGTAACCCATTAGTTTATGCAACACAAAACAGACCCCTAAACTCTTAGACCTATAATACAGGTAAAATTAATGGACATATGAACACCAAATATAATAGAAATAAATAAAGAATATATACATATATACAGGCATAACTTAAGATACCATTTATTATCAGAATTATTGCAGTACTTTAAATAAACGGGGAATATGAAAACCCTTCATTTAGCCCCAGGGGAGATAGCGTTTTGAGATGGTAAATCCAAAACGCCTCTCTTTGTCTTAGTTTTAGGTCCCAGTTTCCTTTCCTAGGAGGCTGTGGTACAAGACCTTGATACATCAGAGAGATTCAAAGAATTTGTATGTCTGCTGAACAGCAACGATTTTAACTTACGATTCATTAGTGAAGTAGGGGGTCAAAACCTTTTCTTTCTAGATCTAGCACTACAGGTATCTAAAGAAGGCAAAATTGAAACAACCTTGTACAGAAAGAAGACAGCCTCAAATAACCTGCTATGCTGGTCTAGTCATCACCCCATATCACTCAAATCCGGTATCCCAATAGGCCAATATTTGAGACTTCGACGAAACTGCTCCACGATGGAGGAGTTCAAATTAAAAGCAAATGAGCTGCGTCACATGTTTAAGGCCAAAGGTTACCCAAATAGGGTTCTGAAAAGAGCCTATCTGAGGGCAATCCACACTGAACGGGAAACCCTAATTACAGATGGGGGTCGTAAGACTGAGGAAAATAAAATACGCTGCATAGGTACATATGATGCAGGATGGGACACTATGCTGAATGTCTTTCAAAAATTCTGGCCTATCCTCCAATCAGATAAGCATCTGAAGGAAATTCTGCCATCACTCCCTTCAATTACAGCACGGAGGGGCAAAAACTTGAGAGATATCCTAGCACCTAGTCACCTCTCAACTACGTCCCCGTCAGGTTATTTTCAAAAATACCTACCAATGGGTTCTTTCCAATGTGGTCACTGCAGTGCATGCCCGTTTATTACCAAGAGGGCCTCTGACAGCAAGGGCTTAATGAATTTCAAACCACGTTCCTTCTTTAATTGTAACACAACAGGAGTAGTTTACCTACTGTCTTGCTCCTGTGGCCTAAAATATGTAGGCAAGACTTTTCTCCACTTCAGGCTAAGGATACGTGAACATGTAAATTCTGTCAAGAGACGTTTGGAAACACCCGTCTCAAGGCATTTACATCTACATCACAATCACTCCTCGGCAGGCATCCGGTTCATGGGTCTTGAACATGTACCACAGCCTCCTAGGAAAGGAAACTGGGACCTAAAACTAAGACAAAGAGAGGCGTTTTGGATTTACCATCTCAAAACGCTATCTCCCCTGGGGCTAAATGAAGGGTTTTCATATTCCCCGTTTATTTAAAGTACTGCAATAATTCTGATAATAAATGGTATCTTAAGTTATGCCTGTATATATGTATATATTCTTTATTTATTTCTATTATATTTGGTGTTCATATGTCCATTAATTTTACCTGTATTATAGGTCTAAGAGTTTAGGGGTCTGTTTTGTGTTGCATAAACTAATGGGTTACTATTTACAGTGGCAATAAAAGAATTGTCGGCTTCTGTGTATGACTGCCCATATAGCCATTGTACTTATCCCTTACTGGTTCACAACGGTTATAAGTTGTTTCTTTAATTGTACTAAAGCTACACAATACAGCCATAAGAATCAATCCACACACTTGACCTATATGATACAATTTGGACATTCCAAGGGTTAATTGTTATGCTATGGATACTGCCTTGTAGATATAGTAAGTATCCATTTATATCTGTTCCGGGCGGGGCACTCAAAGGGTTAATTCCCTTTCACCTGATTTCTGTTCTGGCTACCTCTGACATAGAAATGTGGGCTGACACTATGGTGTGTTACACCACACCCCCACAGCCCCATTCGCAGGAGGACCGGAGCAATTTAGACACAATCACAGGTGATTACAATAAAGCTTATGAGCTTAAGGTATAAATTTACCACCCGGACAGTTTTTTGCTCACTGCTGATACCCCTGAGGACGGCGTGTGGTCACGCCGAAACGTACGTCGGGTTCTTCTGTGTTTTTAATACTCTCTTGAGCACTTTGCTCTGAGCACCTTTTCATTTATGTTTTTCTAGTATGTGTGTGTTACCTGGGGCTTCAGATGTTATGACAGCATTTAGATTAGAACACCCACGAAGGTGTTTTATAGGAGATAGGGTATTAGCATAGCACTACTGTTTGGTTGGGAGTGTGTGTTTCTCCCTTTCCCTGTTCTTTCCTACTGCTTTGTTACCTGAGTTATGTATGGGGGTACATATTGCCTTCTATCCCCTCTCCGTTTCTTGTGAGGGTTGGCTCTTGATTAGCCTTGTTCCTACCATACATATTTCTCCCTATATTATTCTGTCCATCACTGATTACCCAGGTTTTTTAATAGATTTCAATAAAGGATTTTTTATTTTTTGGCAACTACACTACTGTTGAGATTGGACTGGGTATTTACCCTCTGGGCGGTCTTTATATAAGACATCCCTTTTTGGGGTTTTTTCTTCCTTTTTTCTACAATTTCCAGGGTTACCCCCTTTTACCAGTCCAGGTGACCTCTATACTCTGGAGGCTCGGCAGTGGGATACGGGAGTGTCTTTTCCTCCCCTCCCACTTTCCAGCCTTTTGAGTTTCCTTTTTCTTGTTATTTTTTTAAATGTGTTCCCTCATCAAATGACCAAGTTTTACTCAGTCACTGAGTGCCTCTAGTAGGTGTCAGTTTAACACCTGGATGGTTTAATGGACAGCTCAACTGCACCTAGACAAGTTCTTTGAGAAAGAAATTATCTGACTCCCTTTACTGTATCCCCCATCAAGTCAGGATATGTATTTAAACGTGTAAATTTTACAGTGAGAAGGCAGTTAGCCTCAACATGTGAGGTACATTGCAAAGGTAAACCACCATTTCTCACTGAGTTGTTAAATTTTGCTTTATAGATTATGCTGACGGTGAAGGCGGTTGGAGCACTTGGTCTATATGTAGCGTCACCTGCGGTAGCGGAAATCAGAAACGAACAAGATCTTGTGGCTATGCCTGCACGGCCACCGAGTCTAGAACCTGCGATATGCCAAACTGCCCAGGTGTGTATCATTATCAGAAATGAGAGGGGAAGTAATTATTTGAAATGGAAAAATAATTTATCTGGATAGCCATGGGGCAGGCAATGTTCGGCGACGGCAGATGTAGTGTATTACATCTACCATATAGATCTTACAGCCATAATGATGGCAAAGGGTAGATGTACTCAGCAACATCTGGAGTGTCGATGGTTGCCTAGCCCTTGCTCTCAGTTCAGCGGTTGAACTACAAGTACATGATCTGGTTTTGAGAACTGTACATCAACCCCATATGGAGGCCTGCATGTCAGTTATGCATGCTCTATTAAATGTGCACACACAAAAAAAAAAGCCTTTGCATAATGTCAGCTGGAAAACTAAAACAAAGGAGAAAGAAGCAAAAAATGCTTTTTTTCCCCCCAGTGTCTCTGACATGACTGCAGAACACCTGCAAAGAAACGCATGCAGTCTCTTGGCACACACAATGCATTCCAGATGGCTTGATAATACATTTCTTGCATATTCCAGCTCCAAAAAATGGATTGTGACTGTAAGCAGAAGAGGAATGGTATAATGGTGTAGAAGGAATACAGGCACATTGTGATAGCTATAACCTTACATTGGTACCTTGTGTAATTTATTATTTAATTCTGTACCTTCATGGTGATGATAATATCAGTTACGTTTGTTTTTCATTGCTGTATTGCATGTTTTTCCGACATATTGAGGGGGGGGATTGTGGAACGTCATTATTAGATGACCACATTCTGCAGCCAGTGCTTTTAATTTTTATGACAACAGAATATCACTTTTATAGAACAGTGTACAGAACATATCATCAGCACAGGTAACGACCCTTCTGGCATTTTTGGTGATCGCAATGTAATAAAACTAACATTGAACGTGAGTATTTAGTAATATAATTCATAATTAAGAAACAACATATTGACATGGCAAATACCATCTATAACGACACAGAAAGGGCATATTTGTGATATTTTGTATAAATTAGCTTTTCAAATGATTCTCTGGTACCATGACATGTAGTGCACTTATTCTCATTTTTGGGATAGATTCACAAGATGTCAAAATGCCATTATACTGGAGATCCATGGAAAAGATAGGTTAATTCTCTCAGCAGTCTGTCATCATCAGGCAGGAATGATGTAAAAAATAATACAAATTAAATAAATATATATATATATTTAAATCGTTAGTCATAACTGCAAAAATCAGTAATAGATGTGATATGTTCTGACTTCTAAGACATGATAGCAGAATATTAACCATGTGTTTCAGTTACAAGCAGTATGTGTGTATATATATATATATATATATATATATATATATATATATATATATATATATATAAAAATATTTAAGGATAGCACTCCATGGACTTTATATAAAATATAACTTTTATTTACCTTCTAAATAAAAACGATCCATATATATGTATTTTATATCATCGCATTCCGCTCGTTATTATGACTTGGAAGGGCAAAAAGCAAAAAAAAAAAAAAACTGGCTTGCTTGGGGTGTTAGTTTTCATCATGCAGATGGTATGGTGGTACATTTTTGACTAACATTTTTATTTTATTTTTATTTGACTCCAGTACCATTTAATCCCTTTTTTAAATAACTCATTTTTGGCAGTTATGGTTGTTTCCTAAAGTTAGCTAGGCAAAGGGTAGCATTTCATAGCTAATGAGGTGCTTATAATTAAATTTCTGTGTGGTCTCTAAGCCTCTTTACTTTTACAAAGCTGATATTTTTAACACAATTCATTTACAGTAAGTAAGAATTTTATGGTTTGCAGGAAGCCCATTTAAGATTGATTTTTATACTAATACACATATTGCTGTCTTTGGCTAATAATTGCACATTTATGCATAAAGTCTGGGTACAGTTAAGCAGTATAAGACTTTATTACACCAATTACTAGAGCAAAGTTAGTCTTGATGCCTTCTCTTTTTAAGACTAGATTTTATATGTATCTGGCATGATAGATGAACCATGATGCCTTTCCCTGTCCTATAACTACCATTAGACAACCTCTTCACTTTAGACAAGGACCCACTTGTTTGTCTGTACGCAGAGCAGCCCATGATTTACTTGGCGAACCAAGGGCTTATTAAAAAATCAAAGTACACTTCAACATTACAGCTAGTTCCAGAATCTTCAACATTGCCATAATTTTTACAAATTCAATTACATTTTTAAAGAGTTTATGTTGCTGCGTTCAATCCTTCCTTTCAAACTTTTCCAAACTTCTCTTGCAAAAGTATCTTTTACCAAAGGTGGCTCCATATGTCATTGATTATAATCTGTGTAACCTCTCTGCTTCCCTTAGGAATTGAAGACACGTTTAGAACCGCAGCAACGGAAGTGAGTCTTCTCGCTGGCAGCGAGGACTTTAATGCTACAAAACTATTTGGAGTTGGTAAGTGTTTTAGTTTCAAACTGCTTTATTTATATTCTTAATGTGTTGCAGTTTATCATATGATTAGTTTGTTAGACAAGGCGACACAAGAGGTAGATTAAGTTTCCATTTTAATTTTCAAGACAAGCGTTTAAAGTGACTCCATCATCACAATTTTTTTCATTCATTTTTTTTGTTTTTGCATCGTAATATGGCTCGTTAAACGCTTACAGTTGGTGGCGATGACTTTAAAATGTAACTAAAATTACTTGCTTGGTGTTCAGCATCATCGGGCAATTTGCTCTAAATATTCATTAGTTGTTATGTAGTTTTACATTGGTCACATTGTCTGACCTTTTAAGAGGTTATTACATTTTCTTCCCTCTTTATTTCTTTTCAAACATGTCAACTTGCTATCCCCTCCCTGAATAATGTCTCTCTTGTAACTGATACCCAGTTTCCTGCAAGTGATCTCCAAACTCTGCGTCTACTTACCTACTCCCCCTCTCTCCCTGTCCACCTAGACGTCAGTTTTCTTTAAAGAGCATGACTTTCCATCTTCAATCACCAACCATACCTCCCAACATTGAGAGTTCTGTAATCTGGACGGGACATTTAGGGGGTGTTGCCATTGAGGCAAGTTTGCCCAGGTTAGGGTGTACTTGCCTACTGAAGGAGTTGTCAGCCTGGCGTCCTACATGCAGGACCATGCAGAGATAGAGCTGTTGATACTGGTGCCCGCTGCTAGTGCAAGTTTGTTGTACTCGTGCTGTGCTGCCTGAGGACAGCTCCTGGAGTCCCTGGGTGCGAAAACCATGGAACGAAATCCGGACAGCAGGACAGGACCCCGAAAACAGGACTATCTTGCCAACAGTTGGTAGCTCTGCACCAGCTTATCATCTCAACCAAAACAGTATCTGTAGAGCTGCCTATTAAACACCTTTTTTTTTTTCATTCTCTATTATATCATTCAGATTGGAAGTCTTGTTGGTGTTGTCACTTTGCTGAACATGTTTTGTAAAACTTGCATAAATGTTTAATTATAAGCTTTTAGACTGCATTCTCTGTACTTTTAAGTCAGGCCAAAAGAAATTAACCAGACCCCTCTAAGGAGTAATAACAAAATAAAAATGTGTTGTGTATTTGAGGAGAACTATAGGCCAGGGAGTTTGTTTTTGTGTGTTTATTTTATTTAATCCTTTTTACATATGAGTTTCTCCTCTGATCTGATCCATAAGCATTGATGCTGGTAATTGTTTTTTTTAGTATAAGCTCATAATTCTTAGAATTTCTCTTTTTGTCTTTCTAGATACTGACAGCTGTGAGCGGTGGATGAACTGCAAAAGCGAATTTCTCAAAAAGTATATGCACAAAGTCGCCAATGATCTTCCCAGCTGCCCTTGTTCATATCCGACTGAAGTAGCGTACAGCACAGCTGAGATACACGATCGCAATAAACGCAAAGATTTTCGATGGAAGGACGCAAGTGGTCCAAAGGAGAAACTGGAAATCTACAAGCCAACTGCAAGATACTGTATCAGATCTATGCTCTCCTTGGAAAGTACCACACTTGCGGCACAACATTGCTGTTTTGACGACAGTATGCAACTCATAACCAGGGGGAAGGGAGCTGGAACACCAAATTTGATCAGTGTAGAGTTTTCAGCAGAGCTTCATTATAAAGTTGACATTTTACCGTGGATCATGTGCAAAGGTGACTGGAGTCGCTATAACGAGGCTCGGCCACCAAACAATGGCCAAAAATGTACTGAAAATCCCTCCGAAGATGACTATTTAAAACAGTTTCAAGAAGCCAGAGAATTTTAGTGGCTTATTTATGGAAGGTCATTTGTTCAGAAGAAGGGACATAGTACTTACAGTGCTGTATGACAGAAACAGAGTCACATGCTTTGTACACATCCCTTGTGGGTTTTGAAAGTGTACCTGATGGAGCAACCTACCTGTGGCTCTCCTCCTGTTGCCTGCAGAATCTACATCCAATGATATTTGGATAACTACACGTTTGCTTTGCCTACCCTTCATTTATTGTTTTGCAAGTGTACCTTTATGTATGTTCTTGCAAAACGTATAAGTATTGTCACGCAATGTACTTATTTTATTATTTTTGTTCCTGTCATAATTGTTTTTCTGAGAGTTTATTATTTTTTTTAGCTGACATTGCAATTTTTACAAATATGATATATAATGGATCTCGAGAGAAACAAACATTCTGGCAATTTTTAATAAATGTCACTGAGCATTAAGCTTCCTTTTGGGGTTGTGCTGAAAACATAATATGTCTTCTCTAAGATTCATCTAGGAAGCAAGGAGATTGTATTAAACATTGTAGCTATGTAAGGACACTGATGGAAAACTAGAAGAAAGAGGATATGGTCAAGAAGACCAACATCACAGTGGTTAACGTGAAATAATCTCAAAATATTGTTTCTAAATGGACACCATTGGTAACCTGAAAGTAAAGTAGGGAATTCAGGGTATCTCATTACATGTGACTTTTATTTTCAGGGACTTTATCGATCAAGAGTGGCACTTTCTCAAAAAGATGATGATGACCATGTTTCATCTTGTGTGTAGGCCTTACCTTATTTTTTTTTTTATTTGGCATGAACTAAATGCAGTTTTAATTTTTAATTTTTATTTTATTTTTTTCAAATGTGTGTGAGGTTAAGCTGTTATTTCTGTTTACAAATACTGCAATATTTTTGTAAAGTATTTATTATGTTCTAGTTCTATATTGTGCATTGCGCATGTTTGTCCTTTTATTCCCCTTTGCTCCCTGTCCTCCGGAACATGGTCACATGTGGGTTAAATCCATCATTTTAGAGTGGAAGTCTTCTCAATCCCCACAAAAAGATAAACTTAAATAAAACAAAGTATTTAGCTTTGTATTTGAGTGTTTTCTATTTAGTCTCAATGGAAGGACTCAATGGAAGGACTGATAAACTCTAGTCATTTATAAATGAGTAGAAATGTGGAAGCTTTATGGATAGATATCTGCTTGCGGCAAAAGAAGGGAAATCAACTATTGGTTGGGATTAGGTTATAAACCACCTAATGTTGATATTGATGAGGAAGAACAGCTGTTCGAGCAAACTGGGAAAGCTTCACATCTGGGTAACACATTAATTACTGGAAATTTTAATTAGCTGGAAATAAATCAAGATAGAGAAACTAGTAGTTCAGCAATGAGAAGCAGGTTTTTGAACCTGTTAAATGTCACCTTCATGTCATAATTGGTACAATCACCAACTAGAAAAGGTTCTTGTCTCAAGTTGGTTATAACAAACAAACACTGTTGATCTTTTGACATACACTCAAGCAGAGGTACACTTGGAAAATAGTGATCACAATGTGGCATCTTTTTAAATAAATGCACATGGGGTATACTAAAACTAAATTTTTAAAATGTCCATTTCAATAAGATTAGGCAGCTTTATAATGCATTGACTGGCAAAAACCACTTGGGATAAATGCAATATCTTAAAACAAATATAAGAAATGTACATTTCTCAGTATGTACCGTTAGGTAATAAATATAAAAGAAACAGATTGAAACCAATGTGGCTTAGTGGTATATAGTATATATTATACTATGGCAAGATATTCAAATGATTGCTGCAACAAATCTGCAGAGGAGGTGCTACAGCAAATAATGAAAGTTAATGTAAACAAGCCCCAGGACCAAATGGTATTCACCACTGGTAGTTAAGGAGCTAAGTGTGGAATTAGTGAACCTCTGTTTTTAATCTTTCAGGATTCTTTTCTTTCTGGAATTGTACTGCAGGATTGGAGGAAGGCAGATATGTGTCCTATATTTAAAAATGGTTCAAAATCTTTGCCTGGAAATTATAGACCTGTGAGCTTAATAGTTGTGTCTGGGAAAGTATTTAGGGGTTATTGAGGAATAATTTTCAGGAATTCATTGGGAAGAACATTGTTATTAGCAAAAATCAGCAGGGTTTTATGAAACAAAGGGCAAGTCAAACTAACTTAATATTATTCTACGAAGAAGTAAGTAGAAATATAGATCACGATGTTGCAATGGATGTGATCTATTTGGATTTTGCCAAGACATTCAATACAGTTACACACAATAGGTTAGTGTTCAAACTAAAAGAAATAGGTCTAGACGAAAATTCTTGTTCTTTGGTAGAACATTGGCTTAAATAGAGTACAGAGAGTTGTGATTACTGGCAAATTTTCAAGCTGGACAAAAGTGGTAAGTGGTGTCACTCAGGGTTCTGTTCTGTGACAGGTTTCTAATCAACATATCTATGCATGAATTTGAAATAGGCATTGAAAGTCATGTTTTAGTGTTTTCAGATGAAACAAAACTCGTAATAAAACGTGCACAGGATATTACTTCGCTGCTGAGGGATTTAGACAGATTGGGGGACTGAGCAGTCAAATGGCAGATGGACAATAACTTAGATAAATGCAAAGTTATGCACTTTATGGGTTAAGAATGCATAAGCAACTTACACCCTAAACGGTAGTAAATTTGGGATGGCAACAAACAAAAACGATTTAGGAATTGTTATAGACAACTAATTAGGCAACAATGTGCCATGTCAATCAGCAGTTGCTAAGACCAGTAAGGTATTGTCATGTATAAAAAGGGACAGGAAGATAACACCTTGAATATGATGTGCAATTTTGGGCACCTGTTCTAGAAAAAGTGCAGAGGCGGGCTACAATATTAACAAAAGGAATGGAACATTTTAGTTATGAAAAAGTTAACAAATTTAAATCTGTTTAGAAACAAGGCACCTCCGAGGGAATATAATAGCATTATACAAATACATTCAGGTCCAATACAAACCATTCTTTGGAAATCTATTCATAAACAGGACTATACACAGGACACAAGGTCATGCATTTAGACTGGAAGAAAGGAGATTATCAGAGTCTGTACAGATGTGTAGACAGCAACTGGATGAAAACTTGCAAAACAAATAATATTCAGGAATATCATTTTTAATATGCGGGGTAATAGCTTCTTGGTCCAAGGAGAGATCTAACTGCCATCTTGGGGTCAAGAAGGAATTTCTTCAAGAGCTTGTGTAACTGAAATCTAAACATAAGCATTATAAAATGTTTATCACTGACAATTCATAATTTGAAATCTGGCCAAATTCCATCTGTCATATTGTTTATTTATTTCTTAGCCAGAATCCATTTTTGTTAGAAAAACAGCCACCGCCAATAAAGGGTTAAAAAATACTATTTACTTACCCAGTCCCAGCATTCAGGTCACTTGGCCCTGTGTTGGTGCTCCGCCTCCTCCAGGATCATCCTACAGGGGACTAATGTGCATGCGCGGCAAGAGCTGCGAGTGCATTAGGCCCTCCCCAAGGAAATGGCTGCTATGCTTTCCTACAGGGAGTTTTCGGACGCTGTATGTTCACCTGTAGAGTGTCAGTTAAGAGACCGAAAGTCTGGTAAGATTCTGGTAGCACTTCTAGAGGCACTCTGGTAGATGGCCACTAGAGGCTGACTTAGTTCCACAATGTAAACATTGCAATTTCTCTACAACTGTAATGTTTACATTGCAGCACTAAGTGCAATAGGGACACTGTACCCAGACCATTTCAATGAACTGAATTGGTCTGGGTGCCTATAGTGTCCCATTAATCCTTTAATTCTGGATTTTAATTTGTAAGTCGTAGGAGGAGAGGGGTTTTAAAAAACATGTATTATGACCAAATTAAAGGAAAACTATAGTGTTTGAAATACAAAACTGTATGCATATAAAAATAGCAGAAATAAATAAGTAGTTTCTTATTTATTTTTGCTAACTATTGTTTTTATGTGTTCTCTCTTTTTGAACGTTTTGCTTGCAATCTTTATAAGTCGATTGTGCAGCCGAATATATAGCTTGTTGACTAGTATTCCCTAATTAAGTTTTAGAATGCAATCAATCAAAGGACTCAAATATCGGCCTATGAAAATTGTACACGTCTATAAGGCAGATTTAAATACAATGGACTTTAGCTGGAGGGTAGATCCGAAGAAGCATTGTCGGCGAAACGCGTCATCACCCTACTACGTGGTAATGTCATCACGCAGCTGTTTCATGAGTTTCGTGAGACACTAGCCTTGTCTCAAGAAACTAATGGGGCCAGTCACGGAATACCAGCGAGCCGGTAGCTGGAAACCCGAGGGACGCTCAGACTTGGAGGTGACTAGTGTATTGACGGGGGAAATTTGACTTATCTGCTCTTTTTAAAGTTATAATAAAGTTTTATTGCTGTCCTTCATTTTACCAGAGAGGCCACATCTATAGATGTTACACTATGTGTTCTATATGTTTTTTGTTTTTGCATATTATGATACTACTACTACTAATATGATCAAGTATTGTAAGTGAAATTTTGCACTGTACATTAATTGGTATTTGTTTGCACAATTATGCTTGCACATCGATACAATTGTTGCACAAATATAGGTAAGTAAAACGATTTTGCAGTGATATTATTTTTTACTTTATACACCTGATAAAGATTGTGAGTTTCAGGAAATTCTTAAAACATTGGAGACTTTTGTGATTTCCTGAGGTGCAGAAGGGAGGTTATTCTAGAGTATTGGGCCTCCTGCCAGTTTTTATGGATTGTAATCTGAGAGTGTTAAATAGCTCTTTCCATGCTGATGCGAGCCGTCTTGTTGGCTGGTAGGAGGTGATACATTCTAAGATATGGCGTATTGCTAACCTATAGATGGCTCTTTAGAAAAGAACATCTTAAGCAGAATGTTCTGTTTTGCCAGTAACTTTATAGCACTGACTTTGTAATAGGTATCAAAACGGGAAATGACTCTGGATCCTTCCAAGTAAACTTTCATTGAACAAGTGTCTTACTGGCTTTGAAATATAGTCCTTTAAATTCCAGCAGCATTGTGTACGACACAGGCCTTCTGAACCAGCTTGCTCCTGGCTGCCTGCTGCCGTCAACAACCATCCAGTACCGCCGTCACGAATCCCCCCTAGAGGAATCGAATGAACGAGATGCAGCAGACTCACCAGCCCACCAGTGGACTCTCTCCAAATATAAAGGGATGCTACCCAGTCACACATAGCAGCCACCAGCTCTCAGTTCTGTTGACACAAATAGATGCAGTATCCTTATACCCACACTTTTGCCACACGGACCGATAAGTTAAGTGGGAGGGAGCTGACAGCGCCAAGGTCCCTGCTCCCACCTTCTGAGGGAGACCTGGCAGCGAACCTGTTCTGCTTGCCAGGTCTCCGTGCGGTGCAGAGAGAGAGGGGAAAAGGCTGGGCAGAAGGATGGGAAGTGAGGTCACTTCCAGTATTCTCCTGTCTTGCGGAGTAACAAAGAAGAGCTGCCTTGCAGAGACATCAGGTAAGCTCTTCCCTGTGCAGCTCCCCTGCACACATCCCCTCTCCCCCTTCCTTCCCCTGCACACATTCCCTCTCCCCCCTGCCTCACCTGCACACATCCCTTCTTCCCCTGCACACATCCCCTCTCCCCCTACTTCCCCTGCACAGATCCCCTCCCTGCCAGCCACCCTCCCTGCACAGATTCCCTTTATCCCTGCCTCCCCGGAACACATCCCTTCTTCCCCTCCCTCTTCTGCACAGGTCCCCTCTCCCCCTGCACACAACCCATCCACCTCCCCTGCACACATCCCCTCTCCCCCTCCTTTCCCCTGCACAGATCCCCTCCCTGCACAGATTCCCTTTATCCCTGCCTCCCCTGCACACATCCCTTCTTCCCCTGCACACATCCCTTCTTCCCCTCCCTCTTCTGCACAGGTCCCCTCTCCCCCTGCACACAACCTATCCACCTCCGCTGCACACATCCCCTCGCCCCCCTCCTTCCCCTGCACAGATCCCCTCTCCCCTGCCTTCCTGACAGCCAACCTTCCTGCACAGATCCCCTCTATCCCCTCCCACCGCACACA